CCACGCAAATCTACCATTGCACTTTTGGGCTGAGGCATGTAGTACTGCAGTGTACATGCACAATCAAAGTCCCACAATGAAGTTGAAGGATAAAACACCTTTCGAGTGTTTGTTCGGAGTGTTCAACCTTAGAGTGTTCGGATGCATTTGTCACGTTTTCATTGCTGACAGCAAGAGAAGAAAGTTTGACCCAAAGTCCTAAGAGGCTATTTTCGTAGGCTATCCTTCAAACAAGAAGGGTTACAAGGCGTATGATCCAAGACAAAAGAAATTTGTAGTTAGTCGCGATGTAAAGTTTTCAGAGAAGAGATTCTTTCGTTTTGAGCTATCAGGGGACGAGAATGAAAGAATGACTAACGACACGGAGAATGATCTACACGTGGTTCTTATTCAACCCAAGGAGGACACAATCACCGATGCAAATAATCCAGTTGAACGTATCGAGCAGCCAGACGAACCATGGGAGAACCAGAAATTCCATCAGCGCCAATAACATATGAAGAGTTATTCATGGAAAATGTACGCAATTTGGGACCCGTCAGACAGCGTAAGGTTCCTGTTCGGTTTACAGATGACGCATATGCGATGTTTGGATCTATGACGTCAGAAGTTGATGAGCCAGAGAGCATTCGAGAAGCATTACATGGGAAGCATTCCCAACATTGGAAAGAAGCAATGATTTCTGAATATTCTTCTCTTGAAGACAACCAAACATGGAAATTGGTACTCCCAACTGGAAGCGAAAATGTGGTCGGCTCTAGATGGATTTTCAAAGTAAAACGTAATGAAAACGGAGCAATTGACCGCTTCAAAGCGAGAGTAGTAGCACAAAGCTATTCGCAAAATAAAGGAACAGAATACGATGAAGTATTTTCACCCGTAGCCCGGCATACATCATTACGAACATTAGGGACCTTACGATTTTACGACGCGCTTTTCAACGACGCTACTTGTGCGCGCACGTCCTGGGGCGAGACGCGTCGGCGTGGATAATAGATTTTGACTTAAGTTTTTGCCTGCGCGACGTGTGTAGCTTCAGCAACATCATTTTAGAGTATTTAAAAATGTCGTCATTCAGAAATGCAAGAACTGCTATCGCTTTTGCCTATGATGCAGCTTTAATTAATGACGAGGAATTTGTCTTACTATACGATGCTTGCCGTTCGAAAAATCCTGAAATAATGCACAATGATTATCCATCATTTGATCTGGAAGAAATAGACGAAGTTACCTGTTCTTTGGATTTTCGTTGTAAAAAGCATGAAATACCGCTGCTTGCTGAAGCTTTAGGTTTGCCTTACCGATTCAAGTGCAAGCAAGGAACAGTTTGCACTGGAGTGGAGGCTCTTTGTATAGCCCTTCGTTGTTTTGCTTATCCTTGCAGATACAGTGACTTGGTACCTCAATTTGGTAGATCTGTGCCTGAACTTAGCATGATTACCAATTCTGTGATAGATTTTATTTACGAAAGGCATGGGGAAAAAATAACAAATTGGAATCACGATCTACTGAGTCCCAATAACTTGAAAATTTATGCTGAAGCAATTCACCAGAAAGGAGGAGCTTTAGACAATTGTTTTGGTTTTATTGATGGCACAGTGAGGCCAATTTGCCGTCCAGATGAAATGCAAAGTTTACTATATAATGGTCATAAGAGGGTACATGCTCTAAAGTTTCAATCGATCACTCTTCCTAATGGAATGATAGCCAATTTGTTTGGACCAGTTGGTAAGCACATCATTTGACTAATATCCTTATGTTTACTTTGAATTTCATTTAGTTTTTTTGTTTTATAGAAGGAAAAAGGCATGATTCTGCTATGTTAGCCTCATCAGGGCTACTGCAGGATCTACAATTATATGCCTTTTACAATGATAAACCCATGTGCTTGTATGGTGATCCAGCCTACCCATTACGTATGCACCTACAGGCACCATATAGGAACAGGCAACTTACTGTCCACATGCAAGAATTTAACAAATCAATGAGTGCTGTAAGGATATCAGTTGAGTGGATTTTTGGGGACATAATAAACTATTTTAAGTTTCTTGATTTTAAAAAAGATCTAAAAATCAGCCTTAGTTGTGTTGGAAAAATGTATATAGTGGCTTCATTGCTTAGAAATGCTCTGACCTGCTTGCACTCAAATACAATCATTATTGGCGTTAGCAAACGCGCATGATCTTGAAGTCCACCAAATGGACGTTAAAACTGCATTCCTCAACGGAGACATTGATCATGATATTTATATGGCACAACCCGAAGGATTCATCGATCCAGAAAGACCTAACCATTTGTGCAAGCTGAATAGAAGCATTTACGGCTTAAAGCAGTCGGCCCGTTGCTGGAACGAAACCCTGGGTAAGTTTTTAAAGCCACGAGGATACCGAAGATCCAACGCAGATGGATGTATCTACATCAAATCAAAGAAGCAGAACGAACTCATTAAGTTTGTGATAATTGGTGTCTACGTAGATGACATCGTTCCTATCTCGAACGACATCACCATGTTAAAGGAAGAAAAGGAAGCAATCAGCAGAAGATTCAAGATGGAAGATAAAGGCAATGTTAATTTTCTACTGGGGATGTTGATCCGACGTAACCGAGAAGCTCAGGTTATCACAAATTAGCCAGCACAAATACATCGAGAAGATTTTGGATAAATTCGGGATGCAGGATTGTAAACCTATAATTGCACCCCTCGAACCTTCAAAGAAGTTTTTTGAATGCTCGGATGATGAAGAGAAGTTTGACACGCAAACTTATCAACAGGCAATTGGATGTCTCACATATCTTTCAGTAATTTCCCGACCAGATATATCAGTTGCAGTGGGAGTCTTATCACAGTTCATGGCAAAGCCAAGTAAAGAGCACTGGAGTGGTGTGAAGCGTATATTACGATACCTAAAGGGAACAACAGATCATGGATTAAAGTTTTCGGCCGAAAGAAACCCTGACCTTTTAGGGTTTTCTGATGCAGATTGGGCTGGAGACATTAATACACGCAAATCAACATCATGTTACATTTTTCAAATTGGTAATAGCACAGTCAGCTGGTCAAGCCGAAAACAAAGAACGGTTGCAAAGAGCACAACTTAAGCAGAATATGTAGCATTAAGTTACACCACGCAGGAAGCAATTTGGATTCAAAGATTACTTATGGACATTGGATTTGGAATGGAAGGACCAATTACAATCTTTGAGGATAATCAAGGAGCGATTGAACTTGCAAAGAATGCTAAGTACCACAACCGCACTAAGCATATTGACATTTGTCATCATTTTGTCCGGGAACGAGTTCAGTCGAAAGAAGTCAATATTGTTCACTGCTCAACTGATGAAATGAAAGCCGATATTCTGACGAAAGGATTACCAAAATTTATCTTTGAGAAATTAAGATCTTTGATGGGAGTCACTACAACATGAACAGTATAGTTTAACGATTTATAACTTTTCATTATTTTATTTCGGTTATGAGTTATCAAGTGGGAGTGTTAACGAGTGATAACTTTCCCGCGTAAAGTTTACTAACAGGAAAAATTAACAGAGAAAAAGCAGATTTCTACGATTCCCCACAAAAAACTGACGTTCAAATCACCTGGCAAACAGGCAGAAACAACAAACTTCTATGTTGGAAAGTTATCAGGGAAAAATGCAACATTAATTTATAGATCTCGTTCATACTGAAAAATTATTTCTTTGACTGAAACTTACTCGCAAACTGTTCTTCAAGATCAGAAACTTTTTCGAACTGTTCTTCTGACAGTACGAAATCCCGCAGTGATTCTTCACACAGGTCAAGTATTATATATACATATTCTGTTCTACTCTCTTGTTCTAAGTAAGAATAATTTACAACATACTCCAACTTTTGTGCATTGCTTTCATTCAAAATTGTGTTTTCTTGCAGAGCAAGATTGTTATCTCGTCGTATTCGTTTCATTGCTTTACCGTAACTATCTTTTCCAAATCCAAGATGAACACGTGTTCCATCACTTCCTTTGCCGATACAAAACTCGTCAGAGAAAATTACACATACATCACCCACATATTCAACCTTGATGCTGGGATTGCGCCCGTACTCAATAAGTCAACGATTTACATCGTCATCCGACATTTAAAATATTAAATGTTTTAGATCAGTTTATCGGCTCAACAAAGTTTTTTCTTTTTAATCGCTGTGGCGAAAAGTATACAAAAAATATAAGGTTAAAGACATAGAGTTAAATACAGAGGGATAAATAAGATAAACAGAACTAACCCTGGCAAATGAATAGATTATACATTATGAAATATTTCACATATATTCAACCTAACATTTAACGCGTACCATTTTTTAGTTTTGTGAGTAATACAATAAAACAAAGTCTGGAAAACTTACAATTAAGACGACGAATAGTTGTATTAACGTTGTTAATACATACACCCTAAAAGAAATCACAAACTCAAGTATTTTTAAAGAATATCAGCCTTTAATCATGTAAAGAATACAATATAACAAAGTCTGGTAAACTTACAGATAAACCACTGATCTCCGATCACGGTCTCCAATAGTTATTTCAACAAGTGTATTTCTATAACGTTGTCCGTCAGGTAAAAAACATCAATAATAACGCCTTGTTTGCAATGTCGTCATAAAAAAGATTATTTTAACAATGTAGAAATTTCAAAATAAAAGTAGGAAGTACATTTTTTGAAAAAATGCTATATGTTCTCCATGGGGGGAGGGGGGTGAATGAATAATTTGTGGATTTAAACGTCCTTCAAATGTAGCAAAAATAAAGAGTATGTTATTACATAGATAGTAAATTCACCATATAAAGTGAACCATATATAAGTCGAAAATAGCTTGTTAATAAATCATCCAACTTCAATTTTCTTTCTCCCCATCGCTACTTTCAAACTGAATTAAAACTGGTTCTGGTGGTAGGACTTGAACACCATTTATTGGCACATGATATTTCTTTCTAAAACCGCTGTTATTATGAACCGACGTTTTTCTACTTTCGTTTCCATTCCTCTTACGCGTCTCGCCATTTCGTAAACGCTGTTTATAGAAAATAGAAAATGTTGTATGATGAAAGACAATCTAAAGCAATGATGTGAAAGATTTTTGAAACTTAAGTTAAGTAAATAGAATAGACACATAGCAGTGCAAGGACAAACAAAACATTTACATTCACTTCAAAACATCAAATACATTTACTTTATTTTACATATAAATACCTCTAAAGTTTCTTCATTATGCTTTTCTTGATCTGATTGACTTCTCTCTTCAACAAAAACCTTCCTGTTTTCTTTAACGTTTATTTCAAGTTTGTTTTTAAATGATTTATAACTACCACGGGAATATCCATCCGTAGAGATATCTGATTGCCTGTCGCTTGGCCGCGAAGGAGTGGGTAAGAATTCAGAAAACTCACTGCCACTGATAATTGACATGATTTCTGGGTCATGTGATTTCTCTCCCCACTTTTTGTAGGAATAAATCGCTTGAAAATTTTGATTTTTAATTTGGTCTTTAAACACAGGAGACGATCTATAATCTACTTCTGATGCAGAAGTCTTCTAATAAGTCGAGGTTTTAGCATTTTTGGACAGTTTTCAACGATGTAGCTTCTGCCATTAGCAAAACCATGACTTTCAGTTTCGCAAACTTTCATTTCTTCATAATTTTCATAACTAGACGGCAAAGTTCTAAGGTTTATTGTCCAGGCAGATGGTAAAGGTTTTTGTCTGGGAGTAGTTGAAGATTTTTTGAAGTTTAGTCTTGAGTGGTTTCTTGGCAGTGATCTCCTTTGTCTATAAAGAACAATGGAAATTTTAGAAACTTTAATTACCAAAAGAAAAGGACAACATGTGTATTTGATGAAATGATACATAGTAAGCCATTCGTTGTAAATAAATGCCAGAGTAGGATTCCAAATGCAGTTGACTTCAAGTCAGTGACTTGTACTGCAACCAAGCAGTAATAGCTTAAGTGCTCTGTGTTAGTACAACTGACCTGTAATAGTATAACTGCCCTGTGGTAGAACAACTGACCTGTAATAGTGTAACTGCCCTGTGGTAGAACAACTGACCTGTAATAGTATAACTGCTCTGCGTTAGTACAACTGACCTGTAATAGTATAACTGCCCTGTGGTAGAACAACTGACCTGTAATAGTTCGACTTTCCTGGATGATCAAATGTTCTCACAACAACAACAGGTTGTTGATAATCAACACTAGACACATCATCGCCATATTGACTGTAACCCATGTTGGTATAATTTCTCACTGAATCACTGGGCATCATGTTTCTTGAACGGTTGTCATGTGACGCCATACTACGTGACGTCATTGCGGCTGTCTCCTTGGAAGAGAAGTTGATTGGCTGTAACCTCTCTGTACGTAGTGGAGCATTGGCTTTTAACTTCACATATTCTCCATATTTATCATCAACATTAAAATTACCACTTTCCTTTTTTCTGTTTTCATGAAACTCTGAAGACGACTTCCATTCTTCGACAACACGATACTCATTAGCAACTCGTCCCACATTATATCCACGATTCTCGTGGGAAACACGAATCGCGTCGTCCACACGACTATCTTTAGCTTCACGAGTTTGATTCGCTGATACACCAGCATTTTGAAGGGTTTCATGAGACATTTGTAACCTGTTTCTATGGCCAACTTTACTCTCTTCAACAGATCCATGATCTTTTAAGCCTAAAATGTGAACTTTGTCTGTTTTTACGTTATATTCAACTTCGCCTTTGTTTGCACCACTATCAATTTCATCCAAAGTATTTTCTCTCATAATTTTAGTAAAAGTTCTACTGTATATGCCTCCTTAAGCAGACTCTTTTCCATCCTTCGTATCGAATTTAAGAAAACGATGCTTGAATTGAAACATTGTTGAAAATGTTTGTAGAAAAAGGAAATCAAGCGAAGTGATAACGGTAATTATTACGACAAGTTTTTTTAAAATAAACATGGTTCAATACATTTTTATTAAATGTGCTTTATCAATAGTGCTTTTACGCAGTTGCGATAACGGTGATTATAGAGTTGGTAGCAATTGCCAAACTTCTGGGATGTGACCACCATTTTCAGCCGGTGTAATATAAACTGCAGTTTTCATTATTTTCTACAGAATCTTAAACCAAATTTTGTTAACAACTTACCTCTCGAAAAATATCTTGAAATAATTCTCACTAATAAACGACCATTAAAGTTTGAATAACAGATAAACCAATAGCAATGGCAAGCGGAAACAGATCTTAAATTCTCCTTTTATTACTCCGTGCAGTCATTCTCGAGACTCAGTTCAACAAGTAAATATTGACATAGAAAAGATATCCTTTTCCAAGTCTTCAAAAGGTGAAAGTAACCATATTATTTGCAATATTGTACATTCATCCATGTTCTAGAAAAGTGGATAGAAACAAGAAATTTGCCGAATCGAAACGAAGCATCCTTTGATAAATTTTCAGTAAAAGTTTTCGTTATTTGAATTATAGGTTTAGATTTGCAGACTCACAGATTAGACTTCGGACACCGGCAAGAAAAATGAAAAGTCATTTCATACATACGCAGTACAAAACTACGAAACTAGCATATTTACGATAATAGATATCGTTCATAGACGATGAAATCATTGCATATTTAATTCTTTAAGGAAAAAACAACATGTACGCCGAACGGTGGAAGATTTTCACATAAAAATAAGCATTCAACAAAGTCTTGTTTAATGTTTAAAGTTTGATGTACAAGTACTGACCTGTAATAGTTTGACTTTCTTAGTAGATCAAAAGTTCTCACAGTAAGAACAGTTGTTGGTTTTGAACATTAAACACATTATAACCATGTTGACCAACATAGTACACCTTCTCACCAGTGTGTTTATTGGCTGTAAACTCCTTCTTTAAGTCATAGAACATTGGTCCTTAAATTCACATATCCTCCATCAATGTTGCCATCATTGCTTTCCTGTTTTTTTGTTTTCATGAAACTCTAGGTTAGACTTACATTTCACAACATTGTCCTCATTATATACACGTCATCGGGAAAATAAAATTAGCTACGTCACCTACACGAAACGATAAAGTTTAAGCTGAGAAATAATGTAAAACGTTATCAACAGAAATATAAATTAAGTGATTGTTAAGTACTACAGTTGTAAAGTAACTTTGAGCATCTTTAAGTTTGTGTTGTAGATTTGTTCTATCATAATCGCAAATATCCATCAAATTATATTTAAAGAAAACGAAGTTTCAACACCCTACATGGCCTAAAATGAAATTTTTCTACCTTTACGATTCGCAACAGGGGTTTTATCGAGTAAAGATTGCTGCTTTGATGGAGTCAACGACAATAATAAAATCTTCTATAGTGACTGATATCTTCATTATCAGTGTCTGTCTCAAGGCTCATCAAAATACCTTTAATTTCTCAGAATTTAACAGCGAATACATCCTACCCGAGATATTTCTTAAGTCAATTTTTTGATATTTATGTTCACCATGTTAAGGCTTTTTCCTTGAAAATTGTCTGCAAAAGGATTATTTCTATTTTGAAGTTCTAAAATTTACATTCAGATGTGATTTGGCTAATATCACCAACATATAAAATGTACATGAATATTAAAAACCAAACATGAATATTAAAAACCAAACATTGACAGAATATTAAAAACCAAACTGAGTATGTCGGAATTACGTAGAATATAACGATACTGATGACAAATGTTAACTATAATAACTAACCAAACGTAACATGAAGTGTTTAAGAGTTTGAAAATATTTTCATGCTTTCACGAACATTTAACAACTATGATAAACGTTCTTTTTGTCAATTTTCAAATGTTTGTTTTTAGTTACATCAATCCTGTATTATGACTAGTGTCCAGCAAGATATGAAACGAAACAACATACCAGAAACAAGAAACAAGGTATGTTTCTCATTTCAGGGTGACAGTTCAACAAACTTGTAACGAAAATTGCAATTCATTTTTCCACCTTAATTCACAATTTCACACTCTGAGATTCATGACCAGTGTAAAATGGCCTTTCAGACTAGTTTATCACAAAAGAATATCATGCCTTTAGTAAAGTAAAGACAGTACATACATGAGCATTGCATTCATATTCAAAAACTGACAAAAGTCTGTTTTGATCAATGAAAATTGCCCCACAAAAAAACATTGTTGCAACATCAGTTCATCATTGATAAATTTAAATACAAACCTTCATTTTCAACAACATAAACAACGACGAAATATGACAAAATATACAGTTGAAATAACCAAATCATGTTGCAATGACAGGAATGTCTTCAGGAAAACTGACCTGAAATTAGCAAATACTTCATTTAAAAAAGTAAAGTGCAGTTATTGTTTGACAAATATATATTGGCACATGATACATGCTTAAAACTGATCAACTATATAAATAGTCTTTAATACATCACAAGTGTATGATGTCAATCACCAACAATTTACATATAAACCATTCACCTCTCCTTGAGATTCAAAGATATAATCACAAAAAGAGCAACCTAAAACACTTCTCCAATTCTTTTCCAGAACTATATTCCGAAATATACATGAGAAACATCATATGACATACAGTCACCATTTTTAGTGGACAATAATGTTGCGATAAATAAATGATTGAGGAGACTGAGACTATTGCATTTAAATGACACTTGGTAACACCTTTCTGATGTCAAAACTTTTAAAATTACCAATACCAGCGAATATCACACAATTCTCACGACATTTTTCATTTTATCTGTGCATTAATCATGTCACATGATAACTTCCTTATATCTTCCCTTTGTTCAAGCTTTCCTTCTTACAAAACCAGGAAAGGAGCCAGTCCTGGAGAGGAAAGAAATATGTAAGTCATAACGTTATAACCAATACGGCAATACTTACTAACCTTGAGAATCATTGTAAAATCCACAAATAACAAAACCTGTAAAAAGTTCGCAACATGAAATGATGTTTCTCGTTTATTTAAATTAAAAAATGGTTATAAAACTATTTTCATTTAAGTTCAATTTGTAAATATTATTATATTTCTACTAACAACGATGTTGCCATTTTAAAAAATTAACATTCATGTTACAAGTCCCCAGTCCACTTTAGACTCACCAACATTACCTTACTTATCTTCAGTTGAGATCAGGATTTTCTTCTCCATTTTTAATAAGATGACCCGTGTCCTCCATCCTGCACGCCTTTAGTTCTTTCATAAGTAGTAGGTTCGGCAAAAAGGAAGTAAATCGTGAAGTCTGTACTGTGAATTTATAATAATCGTGGAAACTGCTTTTGATATGAGCACATATCAACGCTTCGTGAACATTTTTTGGAGTAAAGACATTCTCCTACCTTGACAAGATGATTGCTCGTGTCGTTAAATCACCATATAATTTGAGTCCTTGTAATAGATAGCATTCGTGACAAAACATTGAAAAAAACCTAGTCGTATTTGACATAATTATATTACAAAAATTATAACTATTAAACCAAGCATTGAAATGAATATGAAATAATGAAAGTATTCAATTAATTTACTCAGAAACTGGCGACTGTAAAACTTGATTATTTTTTTTCTGTACCTATATTTTAGCTACAGATGCAAATATAGTTCTATAGCTGTATTTAGTTGTAAAATACAGCTCGATCACTAATAATTATATTTTTTGAATACACGCTTTTCATGATATGTAGCGACGGAAATCATGTTGAAGATAAGGACATTTCTAAAACAAGTTCTTAACTACAGTAGGAACTTTCGCAAAAAAATTGCGCAAATGTTAAATTAATGAATAAATTCTAAACAAACTAATGCTTGTAAAAATGATAAATAAATGAACATAAGTTAAATGAGTACATAGGTTTTAAATGAAGCATATATATGTTCTTCATCACAAAGAGTAATCATTTAGTACCACGTGAAAAGTCTTTGAAGGAGACATTTTCGAGAATTCCCAAATTTTCTAAACCATCTTTTAATCTCATGCAAACATAATACGTCTCGTTTTTCTCAGTCACTGCAGCAACTCCGTACGCAAATGGTATCTTTTTGTTGTTCTCATCATAATAATACATTAGGCAACCAGAATCTCCAGGCCGGTGGAATTCGTCATTACTCTTTACTGCCACTACGTCACGAAACACTTCTTTGTTGTTGTTGTCAAAAACGCTACGACTGAGGTCAGTAATTACGTATAAGCAAAACTCGTCGCCAACTTTATAAACTTTTTCATTTGCCTTTGATAACAAATTATCAAACACAGCATCGAAAGAACTCGGCACCTCTACTTTAGTCGCAGTAAATTCATTTTCTTTGTCATCAATTAAGATTGCCATGATGTCAGTTTCAAGATCAAATGAGAAAGGAAATAGCTTGCCAAGAGGTATTTTATGCTGTTTTCATGAGTATAAGAGTACTTTTTAGTAGAAATTTCTCAAATGCCAATTTATGATTTTCAATTTTGTCTCGAATGTAAATAAACTGATCGGCACCTTTCGGAACTTTTCCATATCCAGCATGAAGACAAGTCAACGCATAATGTTTTCCATCTCTACAGCTGAACAGAGTCAAAGTGCCAAGGGATTCTTCATTAGGCTCATCATCGCGCTTTGAGTGAACCATGTTGGATAGTGGTCGAATTATTATTTCGTCTGATGGGTCGACAAAACGTAATTCAATGTATTCTGACGCATTGCCATCAAATATCTTATTGATTTCTTGTTTCAAATCATTCTTTCTCATTTTTTTGTCCACTTCGAGGTACAAATGAAGATAACGCATCTCTTTGTTGGGATAGGCTATGCCATATTTGCCACAAAGCCAAGAAAAACTGTGAATGTGAAAACGTCATGGTGTTCGACAAAAAATTAGCACGATGGCGACTTGTCAAGCCAAATGAATCAAAATTATACTAAATATGATAAGAAATCATTACCTTTTCAATTTTTTATGCACACAATCTTTAATTTTGCAACCTTTAGTTAGAAACATATTTTTAAAGTCACTCGTGTTGGGATCGGGAGCTTCATCTACGAAAAAAAATTAATGCATTACATAGCACGGTGAATACATCATAGCAAGATAAAAGGAATACTTGCTGAGTTATTTCACTCTTCATTACATCTCACATTTTTGACCGTTAACAAAAATATGTGAATAAGGAAGATATAAACAAATCTCAATGGTTACATTGCATTCTTGTTTGCACTTAACATTTCAAAAGGCAATAAAGATTACGTTTGTGAAAATAAGCACACAAAGTGAATTAAAATTACTTTAACTTTTAAATCCCCGAAGCGTAATTAGTTGCACAGTCATTGAATTTTTAATGTTATAATCTCGTGCAAACAAATTATGGTATTTGCAATTTTTTGATACATGCTGTACTGGGTGTCTTCTCGTCTGCATAATGAAAAAATAAAAAAATAAAAAATAAGAACAATAGTATAACATTTAAAAATGACACGCTATGTAGACTATTCGTTGCACATTATTTTCAAATTAATAAAACTTAGTCAACAACAACAAAAACAGTCCTTCTCAGGACTATACCAACCTGGACGATCTACATTTACAAACATGTAACGATACTCCCGGGTTCAAACCATTTACTTCAAAGTAATTTAGACACCAATAATAACAAATGGTAATCGGATTGGTAATGCAAATTTTAGATGTTTTCAATTGATAATCAGAAAAATAAATATCCAAAAGGATTTGAGACGTTTACAAATGATAAAAGACATGATGATAACATGTCTATCATGACATATTGCAAATGGTAATGGACATTATGATAGAATGACAATAACCTATAAGACAACTTTCAGATATTCCAAAATTTTTGTAAGAATTTTCTAAGTTGGCATTCACGTAGTATTATAAATGTGTACATAAAGTTCTATGAAAATAAGCACAAAAAGTGAATTAAAATTACTTCAACTTTTAAATCCCCGAAGGGTAATTAGTTGCACAGCATTGAATTTTTAACGTTATAATCTCGAGCAAACAAATTATTGTATTTGCAATTTTTTGATACATGCTGTACAGGGTGTCTCAAAAAACTGCACATCTTTGAAATTAGCCGAAGTTAAAAATTTGCAAGATTCAGCAGTAATTGATTCTCAAATACACCCTGTAAAGCAATTAAAAAAATTAATACATACGAATTGCGGCCACGAAAAGCTAGGAAAATCAATTATATTACATTAAAGAATGATAATTTTAAAACATGGCATTGAAATATTTCTCGTCTGTGATTGGTTGATGACAGTGCAGTTTATCTCTAAGTGCACTGTGTTATTGCACTGTTCAAAAGCTGTAATTGCACTGTAAATACTGTAACCTGATTGCTAAAAACCATTGAAAGTTTCTGTGAGAATGTGGACTTTTTTTCAATTCAAAAAACAACATGGCGGCAGTTGTAAGTAAACCAAAGTAAACAAAGACTTCAACAATTGCAATCTTTTGAAATTCAAGAATTACCAAAGAATGCAATTGGTGAATCTTTTCTAAAAATTAGCAGCGTAATAAGACTTTTGAAGCGATAGAAAGTAAGGAAGCAGACAGAGTTGGGGTACACTCAAGAAATATCTCAAAGTATATTTTTATTAAGTAACAGAAAAGTTTCTCATCCAATTACGAGAAAAAATGCTATTACCTATACTAATTGGTGACATATTTTTACTCTTCATTACCTCTCCTGTCATCGTTTTGACCCTTAAGCAATGTCGTAATATTGGTAAAAGTATTCATATACAATGATAAAAATTGTTCATGTAAGTAATAGTTACGTGAATAACCGATGACTTATATTTTAAATTACTGATTATGGGCTGGGTCTGATTCCAGTAAATCTACTAGATCATTTCTCTCCATTTCCTTCAACAATTTCATCAAAGCAGAAACATCGTGATTAATGCTTGTCGTCTTCCAGTGTTGAAGCAACGCATCAGCAGGACTTTTTTCTCTTGAGAAGTCTCTAACCTCACCAGCTGTGAAATTCATTTTTCCAGCTAGTGTTTTCCAATCCTTGCGATACAACTCATCGTCTAGTTTATTACATAGCTGTCGATAAATCTCACAGTTTGATTGATCGATTGATAATCTTTGAGAATCTAAAACTATTGACAAACAAGAAAACGAAATTATCTCAACCAAAACATTTGAAAGCAATGACAACGTTCTACTTAAAAAAAAAATGTTCACAGTAGACAGTCAAGACATCCTTTCAAAATTAAGGTATTAATTCGCGAGTTATTTCACTCTTGGTTACCTCTATTTTGATCCACAACATTTGTGTTATTTTTGAATTAAAAGATTTTAGTTGGCTACTTATAACGATACCTTTTAAAATTAATTTATTAGGTTATAAATCATTGTTTGTATTTAGCGTTAAAAAAACATGGAAATGTTTGGGCAAATGTTTGCTAACAAAATTTTTTTGCTTACCAGGTTTTGATGTGGAAGGCGAAACACCAATGATGACTTCACTGTTATTATGATCTAATAGATAAATCAAATTAATTTCTTGCAATGCAATTAAATAACATTACAGTATGATGAAAAATTCTAAAACTGTCTTATCTGACCCTTTACAAACGTATGAATGATACGCATGATATAAACGACTCTTAATCGTTCGTGTTTCACTTTTAAAGGGAATGTAAAGATGTTTGTGCAAATGTTTGCTAACAAAATACAATTTCTTATCAAGTACTGCTGTAGAAGGAGTTTTGTCAATGTCGTCATAGTCGTTGTCACTCATGGGAGATGGCAAAGATATCTTTTCGTAAGAAGCTGGAAATTAATGCAATACATTACACGGTTAATACATCATAGCAAGATAAAAGTAATACTTGCTGAGTTATTTCACTCTTCATTACATCTCACATTTTTGACCGTTGACAAAAGTATGAGAATAAGGAAGATATAAACAAATCTCAATGGTTACATTGTATTCTTGTTTGTACTTAACATTTCAAAAGACAATAAAGATTACGTTTGTGTAAATATTTGCATATAAAATTCCATTACTTACTAGGTCCTGATGTAGACGTTATACCAATATCAGCATCACTGTCATTATCATTTAGTAGATATAGCAACGATTTCTTTTCTTCAAATGCTGAAGCAATGTAAATATGAAACATTTAAGAATGATGATATTATTAAGAAGTATTGCAACAAATGTAAGCTTTTATCTGTTAAACACCACACAAAAAGAAAGTTCCCTTCTAGCTATTTAACTTTTTAACAGATTTTTGGGAGCTGTAAATGGTTGTTTGTTTACGACAAAGTGTCATATATTTTGTAAACAAACTTGATCATGCTGATTTTGTTGTGACTGGTGTGTAAGATGGTCTTACTAGGAAAAATCTGAGCGTATTTTCACCAAATCGAAAAAGGATCTTCAAAATATTATGTTAACTATAGGTATTTGGTTATGCCTTCGAATACTTTTAGTTTTTACTATAGTACGTTTTCCCTTTAATACTTTCTACATTTAATTCACATTAGTTATAGTTTTACTCAAGCCTAAAATCAAAGTAATTTAGTCACCAATAGTAACAAATGATAATCGGATTGGTAATGCAAATTTTAGATGTTTTCAATTGATAATCGGAAAAATAAATATGCAAAAGGAATTAAGACGTTTGCAAATGTTAATCGACATGATAGAATGATAATAACCTATAAGACAACTTTCAGATATTCCAAAATGTTTGTAAGAATTTTCTAAGTTGGCATTCACGTAGTATTATAAATGTGTACATAAAGTTCTATGAAAATAAGCACAAAAAGTGAATTAAAATTACTTCAACTGTTAAATCCCCGAAGCGTAATTAGTTGCACAGCCATTGAATTTTTAATTTTATAATCTACTGTAAACAAATTATGGTATTTGCCATTTTTTGATACATGCTGTACAGGGTGTCTCAAAAAATTACACATCTTTGAAATTAGCCGAAGTTAAAAATTTGCAAGACTCATTCAGCAGTAATTGATTCTCAAATACCCTGTTAACGCAATTAAAAAAATAATACATACGAATTGCGGCCGCGAAAAGCTAGGAAAATCAATTACATTACATTAAATAATGATAATTTTAAAACATGGCATTGAAATATTTCTCGTCTGTGATTGGTTGATGACAGTGCAGTTTATCTCTAAGTGCACTGTGTTATTGCACTGTTCAAAAGCTGTAATTGCACTGTAAATACTGTAACCTGATTGCTAAAAACCATTGAAAGTTTCTGTGTGAATGTGGACTTCTTTTCAATTCAAAAAACAACATGGCGGCAGTTGTAAGTACCAAAGTAAACAAAGATTTCAACAATTGCAACTGTTTGAAATTGAAGAATTACCAAAGAATGCAATGGGTGAATCTTCTCTAAAGTTTAGCAGCGCAATGAGTTTTTCTGAAGCGATAGAAAGTAAGAAAGCCAGACTGAGTTCGGGTGCAGTCAAGAAAAATCTCAAAATATGTTTTTATTTAGTAATAGAAAAGTTTCTCATCCAATTACGAGAAAAAACGCTATTACCTATACTAATTGGTGACATATTTTTACTCTTCATTACCTCTCCTGTCATCTTTTTGTCCCTTAAGCAATGTTGTAATGCTGGTAAAAGTATTCCTATACAATGATAAAAATTGTTCATGTAAGTAATAGTTACGTGAATAAACGATGACTTATATTTTAAATTACTGATTATAGACTTGGTATGATTCCAGTAAATCCACTAGATCATATCTCCCCATTTCCTTCAACAATTTCATCAAAGCAGGAACATCATGTTCGTTGCCTGTCGTCTTCCAGTGTTGAAGCAACGCATCAGCAGGATTCAGTTCTCTTGAGAAGTCTCTACCCTCACCTGCTGTGTAATTCATTTTTCCAGCTAGTGTTTTCCAATCCTTGCCATACAACTCATCGTTTAGTTTACTACATAGCTCGCGATAAGTCTCATAGTTTAATTGATTGATTGATAATCTTTGAGAATCTAAAAATATTCACAAACAAGTAAACAAAATTATATCAAATAAAATATTTGAAAGCAATGACAACGTTTTGATTTAAAAAAAAGATGTTCGCAGTAGACAATACTATACATAGAGTATTATAAAAAATGTGTAAGTAATAAAGTCTGGTTTGCACTTCCGGTTTTATTAAAAGATTAACTGCAGTCATTTATCACACAAAAGTCACTTACGTATCTCTCGAAACAACAATTATAAGTTGCAATGCAGTCTTGTTTGAATTGAACGTTCAAAATGGGAGTGTATAGATTTCTGAGTAAATGTTTGTTAACAAAATTTTATTATGAAAGAATGTTATATGGAGTGCGGTGGTTGAAATTAAATGAACCTAAAAAATTCATGAGACAATTGCTTAAATTGTCCAGCAAAAGTGCGAAGATCATATCTTCATTTAAAATTTTATTACTTACCATTTTTTGAATTTAAAGCATCGTCGACATTACTGACATTAACATCGGATTGATATGTCAAATGAAGCTTTTCTAAAGCAGCTGGAACTACATTACATCACAACATGAATGTTTATTACAAAACAAAGCATTACGGTTAAGGTGTTGTTTAGTGAGCTATTTCGCTCTTCATTATCTCTCCGCAATAACGAGAAACAGAAGGTAGAATTCACTCTTAGAAAATGTGGTTCTGAAAAGCCAGTCAACATGAGTATGATGATGAAAATATTAGCATGTACATGTTTACCTTTTTCCTCGTAATCTTTTGACGGATAGGAGAATGGCCTTTTGGGTGTTTTTTTTGTCGTCTTTCCTAAAGATAAATCAGGCAAAACATAAAAGTAATAACAAAACTTCGAGGTCGTCGAGTTCCATTTCGTTATAAGGTTCACCGAGATTTTCAAATGCGAAAGTACAAGGTAAACACGTGGTATCTACCTTCTTTTAACAGTCTACCAAAACTTTCTCTTGTTATTTTTGAAAGTTCTTTTGACTTCTCGTCTGCATAATGAAAAAATAAAAATATAAAAACAATAGTATAACATTTACACATGACACACTACCTAAACGATTCGTTGCACATTTTTTTCAAATTAAAAAAACTTAGTTGGCGACGAATAACTTTAAATTTTAAAAACAAATTATTGGGCTCTTTAGGAAAAGAAACACAAGCAAAATGATAATAAATAATGATGATCCTTCCGCAGGTTTACCTAACGAAAATTTGTTACGACTTTTACTTCCTCTAAATCATCAAGTCTTAATGTCTATGATATTGTCAAACTTAGTTCACAACCTCCACCCCAATCCTGAATTAAAAAAAAAACACTTTTGAGATTTGTGCAAGTCCAACATTCAGGAGTCTACACACAACTGAAGCTCGCAAAAAAATACAAATCTCCTCTGAAATTGGAGTAAAAATATTTCTATATACAAATATGTATATAAGTTTGAAAATTGGTAAACCAGGCATTTAATACATAAAAACAGACGTATCGACATACCTATCATATACTCACAAATAAAAGGGAGAAAAAAACTACAAACAACACCAAAACTACAACATTACACTCTAATAATATTAACACCGATCATATTAACCATACACCAAAACCCATGGCAACGCATTCCACCCCATCCAATCACATTAATCCACCCGCTAATTCAATTAGACGCCAATCCATCTTAAATATCTAAGAATGCATGGTCGCAAGGGTAATTTGAAAAAAAGAAATGTTATAAGGCTGCAAAAAAAGACCATCTTTACCCTAAATGAGAAATAATGAAATAGTAAACGTCTTGAAAGCATGCATAAAATACATAAAACTAAAAGATGTTGAGAGTTGTGCGAGGATAATTGAAAACCTCAATACTAAAATAATCATTACCAGAAATCAAGTTCAAAATAGTACATCCTAGGAAACGAATGTACGATTACGGTGAAAATGACAATTAAGTTTGGACATTATAGTGTCATGGAACCATTAATTTGCGAGAACATCGACGAAAAAATAATTTTACTTACTCGTAAAATGTCTCTTGAGATCAGGTCTTGTTTTCCAGTCAGTCGACCTCATGATTTTGTGCACCAGAAGAGGCAGTTCAGGAAAACGTTGTAAGAAATAATCTACATAGTTGCCATCCTTGACATAACGCAACAGATGTGCACGATGTTTATCGTTCCAATGCTGATTCAAGTTTCTTATAAATCTTAAACACTTTGCCCATGTAGGCTCGTAAGTCAGAGTTATGTCTTTGCCATTCTTTTTAAAGCTTGTGAAATCTTTCAAGACTTCATCATCGATACGCGTCATCCATTCCATGGGAGCATACAATTGCGCAACAACATCTGAATTTGGAGAAATTTGACCTTGTGATTGTTTCATTTCCGGTTGGTTCCCCATATCACATAGCATGCTAAACTTCTCTTTATCGGATTGTAGATAAGGGTGTTTTAACGCCTTTTCGGCAGATGGCCTGTCTTCTGGTGAATGCTGTAGCATCCATGAAAGTAGATCTTTAAGTACAACATCATCGATTTCCATCAATCCAATAGGGTTTCCATCTAGCAAGTTTTTCAGTCTATACTCTGGAGGTCCAAAAGGATGTTTCCCTTTTGTTGCAACATAATAAGCCACCATTCCTGCATTCTAAAAACAATTAAAATGTAAACAGCACGAAAAAATATTAAAAATAAATTGAAATGTACCATGCATATGGGTACACATCTGCACCTACCATCACATCAGATTCTCTTTTGTAGCGTGCTTCACCCCATGAATTTTTATCTACAATGTAAGATTCAGGTGCAATCCAATACTGAGTTCCCCTATTAGCATCGCTTTTATGTGTCGTATGGCTGTTCTCCATTATTCGGCTTAAGCCAAAGTCAGCTATTTGAAATATTCCTTGTGCGTTTCGTAGAACATTGGAAGGTTTCAAATCACGATGAAGAATTGGACGCGGACCTCTATGAAGGTCAGCTAATCCTTTTAAAATTTGTTTAAGAATTTTGGGAAGTAATTTGTGAGGGTAATAGAAACAACTATTTGAATTTGATTCCACATATTCCTTCAACGACTCTTCACATAGGTCGAGTATCAAATAGACGTATTCTGTTCCAAGGCGTTCTTCGTAGTAGGAATAATTCACAACATATTGCGAGTACTTTGCGTTTCCCTCATTCAAAATTTTCTTTTCGTTCTCTGCTATTTTTATGCAGCTATCTCGACGAACTCGTTTCACTGCTTTTCCATAACCATCCTTTCCTAGTCCAACATAAACACGGGTTCCATCGTTTCCTTTGCCAATGCAAAATTCGTCTGAGAAAATTACCCGTACATTGTTCACATTTTCAACCTTGTTATCAGGGTGCTGCCCACAACTAATTAGCTTTAACAACAATTTTTTGTGCTTTGTTGATTCATCAATGTGTTTCCATTCTTGCAACTGGATATCTTAAAATTATGTAAAATAAATTTAGAGATTAATGATGAAAACATTCAAACAATTGGGAGTAGTTGAAAGTTTCCATCACACACAAAATTCGGATGGTGACAAATTACTTCCAAATCACTTCAAAATTAAATCATATATTCTGATTTATGCAATTGATCAGACAGCAGTATAAAGGTATAAGCAGATACCAAAACATGTTCTTTTTATTGTCAAATAAAGCCGTATATAATTACACCTAGTGTTTGTTGCTTTTGAGTGTAAAAAACGTTAAGAACATGCTTATCATGTCTACAGCTATATAATCAAGTGACAAATACAACAGAACAAATTTATTTCAAATTTCAACTTTTACTCTTGACTCTCAGTCTTTATGAGCAATTCTATGCTCACATATCTAGCAATCTGTTAGTATTCAATTTTTATCAGTGAAATTAGACCACAGATAAGAGACCATGCACTATAAAAAGAAATCATTAATTTTAAACTTCAAGGGAAGTATAATGCATGGCTCAAATTTATGATCTAATATTTTCAGAAAGGATTTAGTATTGTCTATTTCAATCATCATTTCCAAAATCCAATCCCCGTGTTATGATATTGTACATTTTTATTTCTGCTAAATTAATTGTGGTAAAAAGTATTTCTTTGATAGTAACTTACTGGTTAAATGTTCTTCGAGATCTGGAATTGATTTCTCTTCAGTTAGTCTCATGGTACAATGTACAAGTAGAGGAAGCTCAGGGAAAACATGCACGAAATACTCTTCATAGTTACCATTGCTTTGAAGCAGTTGTGTAGGAGGCTTATCGTGCCGATGCTGGTGAAAGTTTAGTAAAAATTCTACACAACCGAACCATGTAGAGTCATAGTGTCGTTTCTTGAAAAGCTTAAAGACTTCAGGGTCAATACAATCTTTCCAACTTCTTTGACGATTCAACTGCTTATGGACATCTGAATTAGGATGATGAAGTAAACGATATATTTTTATCACTGTTTGGTTACACAGGTCACACAGCATATCAAACTTCTCTTCATCAGATAGTAGATAAGGGTGTTTAAGCGCTTCGTTTGCTGATGGTCTGAGTTTGGGATTTAGCTGTAGCATCCATGAAAGAAGATGTTTAAGTTGAACATCCTTGATTTCCTTCAATCCAACAGGATTTCCACGTAACAAGTTTAGCAGTCTACACTCTTCAGATCCAAAAGGATGTTTACCTTTTGTAGCAACATAATAAGCAACGAGTCCTGCATTCTAAAATCAATAAAAACAGTGTGAAAGAAATGTAAAAATTCAACTTTATTTCACACATGGTTACATTTTTATACCTACCATTACATCCGACTCTCTTTTGTAACTTGATTTGTCAAACTTCCCATTATCTTTACAATATGATTCAGGAGCAATCCAATACGGACTTCCCCTATCACCATTGCTTGCATGTGTCGTAAGGCCATTCTCCATTATTCGGCTTAAACCAAAGTCAGCTATCAGAAATTTTTCTTTTGCGTGGCGGAGAACATTGGAAGGCTTCAAATTCCTGTGAAGAATAGGACTTGGCTTGCGGTGAAGATCAACTAATCCTAATAAAATGTGTGTGAGAATTTTGGGAAGAGAATTTTGAAGATTCTCCAATGTAGAAGAATGCACAAAATCTTCCAACGATTCTTCACATAGGTCGAGTATCAAATAGACCCATTCTGTTTCAGTGTCTTTTTTGAAGTAGGAATAATTCACCACATAATTTGACTTCTTTTTTTCAATTTTATTAAAAATTTTCACTTGTTCCTTTGCAAAATCGATAAAGTTGTACTGAAGTATTCGTTTTACAGCTTTCCCGCAACCATCCTTGCTCAGTCCAAGATAAACACGGGTTCCATCACTTCCTTTGCCAATGCAAAATTCATCTGAGAAAATTACTCGAACATCATTTAAAAGTTGAACTTTTACATTAGGATCTTGCCCATACTTAATCATTTTTAAAAATAATTCTTGGTGTTTTATCGATGGATCATTAAATTTCCATTCTTGTAGAAGCAGTTCTGAAATTGAAGGAAAAAAATCAAATTTAGAAATGAATGGGGATAATAAAATACATAAAAGTAGTTAAAGATAGACTATTACAATGAGAAATTGGATAGCAACTGTACAGTTTGTTAAAAGTTCTAAAATCATAAAAGTATAAAATTAAGGTTAAGTAAAACGGAAACAATCAATGAACAGATTACTTAAAATCTATCTCATTAGTGTAAACTCTCTACCTTTTTCGTTCTTTTTCTTAATGATTTCTTGTAACTTGTCTTCCATCGAATCTCTTAAGTAATAACGCTCTTCTTCTTCGTATATTTGCACCAGACGCTCCATGACGTTCTTTTGTTTTTCTATATCTTCATCTTCTGTGACAATCTCCAGATACATTTCATAAATATCTGCGGCTTCCCTATACTGCTCAAGTTTATTAAACAATTCTGCTAATTCCCATAAAACAGCCAACACTCCACTGACAATTCCAGCTGAAGTAACAATTGACAAGTTCTTCATGTTAAGGTTGACGAAATCTTTACTAACGTTGATACCACCAACTTTTCTTGGTCGTTGTGGTCGATGATGCTGTTCATGTTGTTGCTGTTGAGATTCAATAAGAGAAAATCCTTTTCTATAATGGTCGAAAGATTGCTCATAATTTCCAAGCGACTTGTTCAATCCTCCCAATGCAATATGGCAGAGAAATTCCATTTCATCTTTCTTCATTGCGTCCTCCAACCTTTTAATGTTAGAATGAACACTCCCCAGGCCAAGGTATACTTGATGTTCAAAATATTCACTTTCAACTTTAGACGAAAACTTTAAGCAATGATTAAAACTGTTTATTGCTTGCTGCCTTTTATTAGAGAGTGTGTAAGCATTACCAAGACCAAAATATGCTATCGTTTTCAGGCTATTTTCGTCTGCAACTTCTACACAATTATTGTAATTTTTAATAGCCGTTTCATAATCACCATTATTCATAGCACAATTCCCTTCTTCCAAAACCTCCATAACTGCTGGAACCGTGAAAGCCTGATCTCTTCTAGTAGTCACGCGAAAATTTATCTAAGTTCTCCAATGTTCTGCATATGAACAGCAAACTTTTCTTTATTGTACTTATTTCTATGCGCCAAACATCAAAGTTTAACTATATAAGGCAAAATTATAAGCTTTATTTAGTCCACTCTTTAGTTTCAAAATTACAATAGAGGAAATTCATTTATGGAAGTTTAGAGCAAGAAAATGAGAGGTCTGACTAACATGTATGTATAGTGTGTGTAGGGTCTCATATACCAGTAGGTTAAAGAAACGGCAATTTTGCAAATTGAAGGTAAATCAATTCTCAATAATGAATGTTTTAACATTTTAATTCATTCAAGTGTCCATTTCAGCAACATTGAATTTAGGAGTGATTTCCACCGTACCAGTAAGAAAAGTTTTTAAGTTTCTCAAATCGCTCCATTTTTAAGGTTGTTTAAAGTAGGCAAAATGCTCCTTTTTATGGAGCTTGTCAGTCGCTCGAAAAGTCTGGAACGACTTACTTTTGTAACGTCATGCAAAGTATTCATCAAGATATATATATCAACCACGTGTTTGTCGGTAATTGCACGTTGCAAACCCCCACTCCCACAGTCACAAAAGTCACGCATCAAGACAATACTTAATTCTTCTAACTCTGTAAACTTCTTATAGCTAAAATACAATTATTTAGCATATGAAGACAACGCAAGATGCGACAGCTTGAAATTGAATAAAACGATCCATTAAAAACTTTCCGTCTGATTTCTTTTGAGTATCTTTTTTTCTAGTATTTTTAAAAACAGGTGTTGAAACACACGAAGAAGAAAACAATACAACAAAGTCTGGAAAATTTACAATGTGACGATCCTTAAGTTAACAGTGTCACAAATTTTGATTTCTTTATCATTTTTGTTCTCGTCAGATCAGAACCATCAAGCTATGTCGAATACCTGTCTTGCATATAGTTGCACATAGTCGTAGATTAATATATATAAATTGGGACATTTGCTCCAACTCGTGTCTAATACATATTTGAGCGAAATTGCGCATGCATAAACCACGATGCGTCAATACCGAAACGTGCTTTGAAAAATCCTTAGCGTTTTATTGATGAACAACTATAACTCTGACTTCATCAAACGCAACACTTACAAACTCAACGAACCCAACGAAACGAACAACTCATTGACAACAGCGACAATACCTTACATCAAAGGTACGTCTGAGACTATCTCGCGTATCTTACAACCATACAACATACGTGTCGCACATAAACCAATCACAACGTTACGACAAGTACTAACGAACATAAAGGACAAAGAACTACCCAACGAACGACAAGGTGCAATTTACAAAATAAACTGCTCCGACTGCCACGCCTCCTATATCGGGGAAACTGGCAGGAACTTAAACATAAGACTTACTGAACACAAACGAGCTACATAGAAACAAGACAAAACTAATCACATTGCCGAACATCACCGAATCACAAAGCACAACATTGACTGGGACTTGGCAAAATGCATTACTTACAGTACTGACTATAGACAACGGCTTACAATAGAAAGTTGGTATACCAACTTAGACACTAATTCACAATGACAATACACAGTTGACACCCACACATTACAACTAAAAACATCGCAACTAAATCATACATCACAAATAAAAACATTACACTTCACACTAATTCACAATGACGATACACAATTGACACCCACACATTTCCTGTACACACAATGAAATTCAATCAAACTACGAATGTGTCCCAATTTAAACATACAAATATATATATAAACTGGGACATTTGCTCAAACTCGTGTCTAATATATTTGAGCAAAATGGCGCATGCGTAAAAAAAGATGCGCCAATGCCGAAGCGTGCTTTGAAAAAACGTCAGCGTTTTATGGATAAATTTGTAGTAAATAATGATTTTTCTACGAAAGAAAACCAAACAACAAAATAAAGGCGCCAATTTTCTTAATATAGAAGCATATGAGGTTGACCAGTCCAATCTTAATTCGTATGTAGTTTCCAAATAGGGAGGTACCCACACGTCACAATGCATTGTAAATTGCAACTTACATGACCAACCTATTATAAACTCCAAAGTTCAGGTCTACAGCGCGATGAATCTCTGTCAAAAGAGACTCACAAGACGCACCAAGAATCAAATTCTTATAATCCGTTGGCCTTAGTTAGACTTCTGACACAATGAATTTTCTAATGAATGAAAAAAATCCGCAAAATTCAACCTCACGTTTTAAAGCGTTCCCGTTTTTAATATTGACTATTGATGAGAGTACAATACAACTAAGTCTGCAAAACGTACAAAAAATTCTCCAGTCTTCAGGTAATTCAACACTATTGACTTCTTCACCGTTTTTACTAACGTCTGACTAAAAGCATCAAAACAACAAGAATGACTTGTTTTGCAAGTCCTCATACCTACATAAATTTTCTCAATTTGAAAAGATCACAGCAAGATATAGTGACCTGGCGACCCTTGGTGGCGGAGATTGGAGGAGTTTTGAAAAGGCATAGTTTCAATTTTACACGCGAATGCTTTCGAAAATGCCTTTTGTGTGAGACATAAGCAAGTACAATAGAGGAAACACAAAAAACAGTCGATTATTCATCATATACATCATATTGCACACACTATACTTGTGTTTTAACCCGATGCCTGCCTTAATCAATGCCCTAAAAGCACAAGCAACGTCTTTCGCCCGTTTTTAGTCGTGCTCACTCAGGCCGGCAAGACCAAATTATATATTCCTAAAGGGTTAGAAACGACTGGAATGAGATGCAAAATTGAGCAACTGTACTCCATGAAATGTTCCAAAAAGTCTCCCTTGTCTAACCGAACTCCTTTCTTTTCATGCAAAGGTGTGAAAGGCGAGTTTCAGGCGCCTGAAAATCAGATTGCTTATTCAGCTTTTTACAAGACTGTCCATGCCAGATTCAGAAGTTAACCATTTGTCATTGATCTATGATGTAAATGGCATTTGTAATTCCTAGGCATGCTGATGAGCCCTGACATTGGGCGAAACAGCTATTTCAAAAAAATTATTTAGTTGAAATAAATGAATGATTTGCTTTGATTTGATTTGAAATGTAAAATGATTTTGAGAATTCAGATGTGATCGATTTTAAACTTTCTCGGAGTGCATCAACCATGACACCACCGACTTATGTTAGCACCAATCATTTTAGTAATTCATGTTTACAATCACAACAGCACGACTAGTTGTTTTAGTCTAGCTACGCCACTGATGTCAGTCTGATGTTTTTTTTTAATAAACCATGCTAGTTTAAAAATTGCCAACTTTAGACAGCAAAATTTTCCTGAAAGTGTATAAAAACAACACACACTTAACAACATTTTCAACAAACCATGCGTGTTCAAAGACTTGCCAATTTTATGAAAACAATCGAATCTTAACGACAATATAAAAACACATGTTCATTTGAACGATAAACATGATTTTCAATATCGTCATTATCCCAGCAGTAAAAGAAACTTATTTTTACTTGGATAGGAAAATGATAATTTTTGAAGAATTCAGATGTTAAAGATAAAGATTAAATCAAATTTAGCTCAAACAAGAGCTTTAAGACAGCGTAAAATCTGTTGAAAGCGGCGTTGCAATACATTTCTTTGCCATAAAAGAAAAGATAATTAATAAAAACATATTATTCATATCGTATTCAAATGGCATATATATCCGACTGCGAAAGAACACGTCATTTCAATATTCGCATCATTCTTGTTTTGCTTAGCATGGTGCATAATGAACCGGTAACTTTTATACGAAGTCGATCATCGATAATCCTAAATATTTGTAATAGTTGTAATTTACTTAACGTTCACAAAGACTATAGGAATATAGTTACTCTTTAAAACATAGAGTAGACTGAAACTATGCGCTCACCCCCCAGAATATAGGTGATGGAATGCAAACTTGAAGGGCTAACTTAATTCAAATGCTGGAAAATCCAGATAATGTTTGATGTACAGAATAATGCTTGATATGCAGAAGTATCTGACATAGGACAAGACATTTCCGACATTTTCAGTTGTACAATGAGCTAATCGAAGACAAGCAATCGTTTCTTGTTAAATCATTTCATGAAAATGTTCATGAATGACAATATTTAAAGTATCAATGCAAAATGGTTTATATACATATCATAAATGAAAAAATTAATTTAGACAACACCAAGTACAGTTTTCTCAAGAATTATATTTCTCATAATACAATTTGCTTGCGTGTCCACTTCCGCCAACGTAGTTCATAAAATTGTCATGAAGAAGAGAAAGTATACACGCTAACAAAGCTAAAGCATCGTGAAAACGTTAAATATAACACTGTCGACATTCTGTATGTATGAAAGTTTAATTATGATTAAAAACGCAGCAGAAAAAACACTTTAATGCTATAGAATTGTTTTAGTCCGTATAGTTACTGCCTACAAACTTTATGTTTTTATGCGTGATGGGTAGAAAATCTTTACTTCTAAACTAAATCGGAGTATTTGTAAAGAGAGTTATAAATAAGTTACATACACAAACTTTCGGCAATGAAAATTAACGTCTGACGCAATATAATTTTCTTAATGTTGTTAATATATACACCCTAAAAGAAATCACAAAGTCGAGTATTTTTAAAGAATATCAGCCTTTAATCATGTAAAGAATACAATATAACAAAGTCTGGTAAACTTACAGATAAACCACTGATCTCCGATCACAGTCTCCAATAGGTATTTCAACAAGTGTATTTCTATAACGTTTTCCGTCAGGTAAGAAACATCAATAATAACGCCTTGTTTGCAATGTCGTCATAAAAAAGATTATTTTAACAATGTAAAAATTTCAAAATAACAGTAGGAAGTACATTTTTTTGAAAAAAATGCTTTATGTTCTCCATGGGGGGAGGGGGGACAATGAATAATTTGTGGATTTAAATGTCCTTCAAATGTATGAAAAATAAATAGAAAGTTATTACATAGATAGCTAATTCACCATATAAAGTGAACCATTTATAAGTCTAAAAAAGCTTGTTAATAAAACAATCAACTTCAATTTTCTTTCTCCTCATCGCTACTTTCAAACTGAATAAAAACTGGTTCTGGTGGTAGGACTTGAACACCATTTATTGGCACATGATGTTTCTTTCCAAAACCGCTGTCATTATGAGTCCACGATCAACTGCTCGTTTCTTTATTAAATGAACCGACGTTTTTTCTACTTTCGTTTCCATTCCTCTTACGCGTCTCATCATTTCCTAAACGCTGTTTATAGAAAAATAGAAAATGTTGTATGATGAAAGACAATCTAAAGCAATGATGTGAAAGATTTTTGAAACTTAAGTTAAGTAAATAGAATAGACCCATAGCAGTGCAAGGATAAACGAAAAAAAATCAAATACATTTACTTTATTTTACATATAAATACCTCAAAAGTTTCTTCAAATGATTCATTATGTTTTTGTTGATCTGATTGACTTCTGTCTTCAACAAAAACCTCCCTGTTTTCTTTAACGTTTCTTTCAAGTTTGTTTTTAAATGATTTATAACTACCACGGGAATATCCATCCGTAGAGATATCTGATTGGCTGTCGCTTGGCCGTGGAGGAGTGGGTAAGAATTCAGAAAACTCACTGCCACTGACAATGGACATGATTTCTGGGTCATGTGATTTCTCTTCCCACTTTTTGTCGGAATAAATTGCTTGAAAATTTTGATCCTTAATTTGGTCTTGAAAGACAGGCGATGATTTATAATCTACCTCTGACGCATCTGAATGTGAGCTGAGTTGCGATCGACCAGAAGCTTTGTAATAAGTCGAGGTATTAGCATTTTTAGCATGGGATAGTTTTGGACGGTTTTCAACTATTTATCTTTTACTATTACCAGAACCATGACTTTTAGCTTCACAAACTTTTATTTCGTGATTTATTTAATCTCATGTACGAGTTGAGCCTTGATATTTGGCTTTTCTTCTAGGTGGTAAGTAATAAGAGTGAACATCTTCATAATTTTCATGTCTTGACGGCGAATTTCGAAGGTTTATTGTCCAGGCAGATGGTAAAGGTTTTCGTCTGCGAGTCGTAGAAGATTTAAAAGATTTTTTGTAGTTCAGTCTTGAGCGGTTTCTTGGCAATGATCTCCTTTGTCTATAAAGAGCAATGGTAATTTTAGAAACTTTAAAAACCAAAGGAAAAGCCAACAGGAATGTATTGCTAACGCTAATTGGGGGGCTCTTATTCATTTATTCATGATATGCTGAATTAATATCTTTTGAAATGTATTGTTATCTACGGATCTATAACATGCATATATGAATAAGAGCCCCTCCAATTGGCGATATCAATACATCCCTGAAAGACAACGTGTGTGTTTGATAAAATTAAGCATAGTAAGCCATTGGAGGTGAATAAATAACAGAGTAGGATTACGTGTGCAGTTGAATTCGAGTCAGTGACTTGTACTGCAACCGAGCTGTAATAGTATAACTGGTCTGTGGTAGTACAACTGATCTGTAATAGTTTAAGTGCCCTGTGGTAGTATGACTGACCTATAATAGTTTAAGTGCCCCGTGGTAGTACAACTGACCTGTAAGAGTACGACTTTCCTGGATGATCAAATGTTCTCACAACAACAACAGGTTGTTGATGATCAACACTAGACACATCATCACCATATTGACTGTAACCCATGTTGGTATAATTTCTCACTGAATCACTGGGCATCATGTTTCTTGAACGGTTGTCATGTGACGCCATATTACGTGATGTCATTGCAGCTGCCTCCTTGGAAGACACGTTGATTGACTGTAACCTCTCTGTACGTAGTGGAGCACTGGACTTTAGCTTCACATATTCTCCATATTTATCATCAACATTGAAATTACCACTTTCCTTTTTTCTGTTTTCATGAAACTCTGAAGAAGACTTCCACTTATCAACAACACGATCCTCATTAACAACTCGTCTCTCGTTATTTTCACGACTCTCGTAGGAAACACGAATCACGTTGTCCACACGACTCTCTTTAGCTTCATGAGTTTGATTCGCTGATACACCAGCAATATGAAGGGTTTCATGAGACATTTGTAACCTGTTTCTATTGTTAACATTACTCTCTTCAACAGAGCCATGATCTTTTAAGCCTAAAATATGAACTTTGTCTGTTTTTACGTTATATTAAACTTCACCCTTGTTTGCATCACTATCAATTTCATCCAAAGTATTTTCTCTCATAATTTTAGTAAATGTTTTACTGTATATGCCTCCTTAAGCAGACTCTTTTCCATGAATGCTTGAATTGAAACATTGAAAATATTTATAGAAAAAGGAAATCAAGCGAAGTGATCACGGTAATTAATACGACAAGTTTTTTAAAATAAACATGTTTCAACAACTCATGATGCCATCTTCAATAAATACTTGCTTGTGATAGGTGCATATAGGGGTTTTATGTTATGTACCCATCACACAGAGTACAAAAAGTTCAAGAACGAAGTAGAAATTGACTTAAGAAGGAAAACAATATCAATACTGTCAGATTTAGTAAAGACCGCAAACGAACAAAATTTATGCTAAGATCAAATGAGAATTATGGATATCACTTGAATTAGCACGATAAGCGACATTATGAAAACGTACGTCCTTGTATGTGTAGTAAAGCTCATAAACTTCTTTGTACACATTTAATGCATACAACAAAGGTCCATTTTTAACCTTTCAGAAAGTAAAAACATCTTAGTCTGACATCGAACTAGAATTCCTAGCTTGCAACTAGTACGACCAATCGTTTAGGCTAATAGTTAAATTCGTTCGTTTTGTGCAATGTATTGATTTTTGAACAATACTTGCACTTTGTGTATTGTAATGAAGTACAACTAAATCATAAAGGTTTCATGACTTTCTCCATTTTCAATGTTTGTACTAGACTCCCCGAAGCTTCAAAAAATAAGGATGCGGTATATACTATACTCGTCGACTTTAACCCCACCTCCAAATTTACATCTGTTCCTATGCCTATGTATCAATCCTATGTATATCTATGAAACACCGAAGCATTGGCGTTGTGGCTGGGGTACAGCCAGGGGGGAATACCCCACAAATGATTTGAGGGGAGACACCACTACCAGAAGGCATATGGGGGGCGCCAGAACGCATCTTTACAAACTCCTTTAAATTTATTTCAGGAAACAAAATTCAAACAAATAAAACCACTGAACGACGGAACGGATCAGAAAAAATGGCGGACGGATCTATTTCTGCTGATATTCACCAAAATTGACAAATATTATTTCGCATTGTAATACAATTTGTAATCAGAATGATACAATATTTTGATCTATTCATATCCAACACTTTGCCGCGTTTTTACTCAAAATTACAAGGAACATATAATAAACAGGCACCGCGGAGGATCGATAATGGGGGGCTAATATTCATATATATTCATATATGCAGGCTTATAATCTTTTGAAATACATTGTTTTCTAAGGATTAAAACATGAATACATGAATGAGCCCCCAATTATCTATCCTCCGCGGTGCCTGAATCTTGTATGCCGAAGGTTCATTTGAATTGTCAAAAGCTCTTTTTTGATGACGACATTAACTTAAAACTGACTTATTTTGTGTTGTTCAACACCTAAACTTTGTAAACTATAGCTTTGGAAAATCGTCCAGTTTGCACAAATCTTCTTAAGCTATTTTTATAGTTATTATGGATATTATTATTATCTTACACAAACAATCTCATGAAGGGATTTTGAATCGAAAATGCTTAAAAATATTGGGCGCAAAGAGACGTAAAATATCCTGAGATGACGAGATAACAACGAAAAGCATAATCAAGGAGTATATGTTGAATGTTAGAAAGTATATCACTACGTATGGAAGATACAATTTATAAGTGCCTTATACATAAATTTGATAGTATAACTTACTTTCATAGTCGGGGTAATATTCCGCTCCTTCACCTTTAGACTCGTAACGTTCTGTCAATTGAAAAGTCACCAAACGTGTGACAGTATTTTAGTCAATGAAATTCGACTCAGAAAAAACCTTAAAGATATATTTATAGTTGGTGCATAAAGACATAAAATCTCTTGACGACGATTATCGAGATAAAAAGATGAATAAAATGTACGTATGTTCTACGATAAAATGTTCGTAAATATATATCCATATTTTTGCATGTATAGCTTACACACAATTTACGTGGGTCTCGCATAAATTCGATTGTATATAACTTACCGTCATCCATGAAGTAACTTTTCATTCGTTGAAGGCAACTCTATAAATTCTGTATTATCCAAGGTGAATACATCGAACTTAGGAAATTCTACAATCATAAATACAAATTTATCAAATCTTCGTCTTTCTCACTCGTTGAAATGAAAAGATTAAAATAAAATTCTTGCACAGTTTTAATATTCAATCATTAAGGCGTTTAAATTACATATAACATCATAACCTTCAACGCCGTACGTCAACAAAGCAACTTTCCGTGATTATTAACCTTAACATAGATGAAAATTTATAAAAATTAAACATACGCAGGAAGAAAATTTTCAGAAATTGTACTCATCCTTGTTAAACGTTACTTGTATCAATGTTTTAAAACATCCAACTGTATGAAGTTAATCGTCAAAAATCTACGATAATCATTTCATGCACGCCAAATAAGGATGTTTTTTTTACAAATTATTGTCGAAACAAAAATATTTATCATAATAGTAGCAAAGTAGCTACATCTTAGGGGAAAGCTTATTATTCACAGATTCTAAAAATCATGATTACCCAACAAAACAACAAAATCACAAAAAATTTGTCACAGCAACAAGGTAGCTATAACAAGGTATATAAAAGACTACTATCGTCAAGTTTCATCTTTATAAACTTCATTTAAAAAATATTAAGTGCAATGGTTTACTTTCACCAATTATGATGAAGCTATCACAATCAGGGACACCTTTAAACTCAGTAAGGCAATGGGGTCTTTGTCAATGTGAACAAAATTGGAAGTTATTTTTTTCCGTACTAATCTCTACCAAGAAATTTAAAAACATAAATCAAAACACAATCCGCTTATTGTAATCACAGCAAATGGAACGTTTTATAGTATAACTGTTTAATGTTTGTGATTAACCATTGATTGCAGTCGACTAGATTTAAAAAAAAACACAGGAGATTCTAAATTTGGACAACCGAATCAAACAAGGCGCTACCATGCAACACCTAATGAGAAGAAAAAAACCTTAAGGGTACTGGCATGTAAGATATACAGTATTAGAATTTAGAATAGTCTGTTCATCTAAAATGCAAGAATTCATTGAAAAATGTGATATTACGCGTGTCAATGACACATTTAAGATGCAACTATTTAAAATAACAAGAAAAAGATCTTTGTTCATTCGATACTAGCGATACCGAGAATTTGTCTATTTTTACTTTCCAATTATCATTCTAATCAAATTTTTCCTGGTAAATGTTCAAATGGTGAATTATATTACGCGTGTCAATGACACACTTCATTGCATAACTATTTAAAATGCAACTATTTAAAATAACAAGAAAAAGATCTTTGTTCATTCGATACAAGCGATACCGAGAATTTGTCTCATCTTATTTTCCTATTATCATTCTAATCGAATTCTTCCTGGTAAATGTTCAAAATTATTTTTTGTTAACTGTAACTGAGAGACTGAAAGATATGTGTTAAAAACAGAAATTGGGGATTTGTACATGGAATTAAAGACTGTTACGCTCAAAAAAGCTAAATTGAATTTGTAAAGTCTTTTGTTTTGTATAAAGGTAATAACAAAATGTTAAGAGTTTTTCATTTAGGCATTGGAAGTTTGATTTAATGACTTTCTATCTTATAGAAAAACCTAATACAAACTATTGGCGATTGAATCAAACGCCTGACGCGTGAAATGTTCTTAAAATGGTTATTTGGGTATTGAAAGAATTCACAAATGCAATCTAGAATAGCAACGTGTAGTTTTTATCCAGTAAAAAACATGTCACAACTATGTTTGTAAAAATTCTCTCACTTTTAAAAGTTTCAACAACCTCCACTTCTTCACCGTTTTTGCTTCCGTCTGACAGCACGAATGCCTTCTTCTGCAGCTCGTGACCTTGAGAGAAATAAAGATTTCTTTACAATGTAGCATTTCAAATTCAAAAGATCATAGCTGGAAAAACATGCTTTATGGAGATTTCTCTAAGCAGATTTCGTAAATGACTGCATTTCAGTATGCTCACAATCGTAAAGTAGAAATGTGTTTAAAAAAGTATCGTCTACAAATAAACAGTTATTACAAATAAACATTAATTCCAATAAATCTTGCATAAATCTACCAATAGCAAAACACAAATTGTTTATGAATGGACTGTTTCTTGAATTATTCAACTGGAATTTTCTTTATATCATACTGGATGATGGCTTGGGCAATAAGAAAAAATCCTTACTTTATCGTTTCTGTCAACATTTTGTTGACCTTGCAACTGCTCATGAAAACACTTCGGACATTCTGTGAATTTGACAAAATGCATTAACAAAAATAGGTACGCTTGCGTACACGTGGGAAGCCTGTAAAACAGGAGACGCAAAAAGATTGAAACAAGTGGAGTTGCAGTTACTTTAACACAGGATAAGAATTTTATAGTATGCATAAATTTAACAGTTTGCAATTGTGATGAGACCATCCGGCAATTGCAATGAAATATGAGTTATGTTTGATCTCATTTATCTATGCTTCAAGACCTGGTATTTAAATTCTGTTTAAACAATATTACTATTTTGAAACATTGAATTCATTGATTGACAACTTGTTTTATCATGATACTTTGAACTCCTGATACAAACAACAGAATTGTTATTATTTGTGGAGGATTAAAAAAAGGTTTGAACTTTTTGTAAATAAGAAATATGATAAAAAGGCAGTGCATAGAGTGTCATCACAGACATGATATCTGCCACTCTCTTGTTTTGCATAGCCTAATTTCTCGGACAAATAAAATAACTCACCTTCAATGTTGCAAACAGACCAGTGAGACCTCTCCCAGAAAATTGTACAGCTCAATATTAGTGCAAACTAGATAGACAGTAATGAGTAATTGTAAACAAACATTAAAAATACTTATTGCAGATACATTTTCATTCAGTGACTGTATCCAAATTATGAAAAATACGCATGAGTTTAGCTTAATAATAATGGAATCCAACAATTATATACTTTTTTGGAGCCCATTTGCAGATGGTAGAGGTCTTTTTTGATTGCATAACAAAATGTGTTAATGAAAACTATTAGTAAGAAATAGCTTTAGGTGCACTTATGTAAGGAATTCTCTTTTCAATAATACAAAAATCAGGTGCACCTTTACATGAAAATACGATCATTGGCCGACTCTAACCAGCAAGGGCATGAATTTTTCCAAAGTATTTTTTTACAACAACGGAATGTCTTCAGGAGAATGGGCCTGAAATTAAATAAGTAAATACTTGATTTAATAAAGTTAGATGTAATTACTGGTAAACAAAATAATGGAACATAATAATTGCTTAAAATTTCTCAACTAAATAAGTCTTCATTTTCAACATATCACAAGTGCTTGATACCTTCATATCAATCACCAACAATTTACACAAAAATTCATTCAATTTTCCTTGAGTTTCAAAGAAATAATCACAAACAAATCCTAAAACACTTCTCCAATGTTTTTCCAGAAATATATCCCACAATTACCCATGACATCATTTTTGTCTAACCTCGGACATTCATTTACTGGACTATTTAATGTCATGGCATTTTTCGTTTTATCTTAGTATAATTGCATTAATCATGTCAGGTGATAACACCAATAAAAATAAGCCTTCACTTTGTAGCCCTTGTTCAAGCTTTCATTTAATATCATACTGCAACTTATCTCACTATATCTCATTCAAATTTAATTATAAATTACATGCTTGAATAATTACAAGCTAATATGCACAAAACCAGCAAAAGAACCTGAAGGGGAAGTTTTATCTATAACCATTAACCAATACCTGCATAAAACTAGTTTCATTTAAGTTCATTTTGTAAATATTTATATTTTTGCTAACATTTAATAAAGTTGTTTCCATTTGAAAAAAATTCAAAACATTCATCTTACTTGTCCCCAGTCACTTTCTTCAGTTGATAAAACTTATTATTTTTCCATGGCCTGATGTCTTTTGAGCAGCCACAAACGTCTGCCATCTACAGAAATCAAACACAAGTTCCTAAACTGCATAAATGATTGGTGCAAACTAACAAACCAACAAGGGCCTAGAGAGGAAATTTGATCTATAAAAAACATTAACCCATATATATCCATCATATCTCATATCTACTCACATTGAAGCGTTGATGATAAATAAACTGTGAATCATTGTGATATCTACATATACTAAACCTATAATAATATATTTCTCCTTTACTTAACTAACTTTGATGATTACAATACTATTTTCATGTGAGTTCATTTCGTAAATATTTACTAATTTTATTTATATTATACGTACAAAACCAACAGAAGAGCTTTGAAAGCAAACAAATATAAAACCAATACAAACTGTCACCACCGACTCACCCTGAATGGTTATTGATAAACAAACTGTGAATCATTGTAAAATCCACAGATAATAAAACCTATAAAAATGTATTTCTCCTTTACTTAACTAGCTTAATGGTTATAAAACTATTTTCATGTAAGTTCATTTCGTAAATATTTATTTATATTATTGCCAACATTTAACCAACATTTAAAAGCGATGTTTCCATTTAAAAAAAATTAAGATTCATGTAATCATCTTACTTGTCCCCAGACCACTGAAGACTCAACGGCCTTTCCAGCTGGCTTACCTAACTTATCTTTAATTATGGTCGTGAAGATTTTCGTCTCAATCCCATAATCCTAATTGATAACAAGTCAATGAATTGTAAGAGTCCCAAACAGTTATAAAATGTAACGACAGAAGAAATACCATGAACTAGGTACAAGGAGAGATGATCTGTTTTAGTCGATTTTAATTTCGTTTATAAAAATGTGTTTCGAGATAGGAATGGACCGTGACTTCCTTCAGTTTTTTATGAACATGCTACAGAGTCCACGGAATCTACAAACTTGCTAAAATCTTAAACATAGACTGCATTCTGGAAAATAACTTTGTTCAAATCCCGAGTTTAATAAATAAGTCTCATTCTACTCGCTACGAACGTCCTGCAGTGTTCTAGCTGTTCGAATTTTGAAAGCTGGTCATTTGCATCATACAATATGATTTATACCAAAATGCTGAAAATCTTCCTTCTTAAAAATGACAATGCACATAATATCCACATCCTTATTAGACAACCCATTCTTTGATGACGGATGCACTTTAGTGAAGTCATTTTAGCGATGGTTGTTATATTTTATTTTTTTGTTTAAAAGCATAACATTGACTGGGAAGCCCTTGCATGCATTGCCAACAATCGTTCTTTCAACAAATAACTTAGTATAGAAAGTTGGAGTACAAAACATGAACAAAATGCATTAAATCTATTCACAACAACAAGTTTGGAAAATACTCTCAGGCTCATATCATTGACTTGGTTTGATTCTTACATGCACCTTGATATTTCGAGCAGACACCTCTTTTCTTCTGGGATTTTCTGTCGGTACAACAAGAAAAAAAGCCCAGAAATATGTAATAAACACTTGCATGTAAAACAATACATACAACTGCAGGGGCTTCGAAAAGTGTGTGTGCCATGCTAACTGTGTGGTAATTCACAATAGTTAAACTAGTATAATAAATTTTTTGATATTTAATTCGATTTTTTTTTCTTTAACTCTATCATGTCACCCTTATTGAAAAGTTGGCACATCTGTATAAACCAAGTATTCAATTTTTTATCAAATCTTATAAAAAATGCTCACAATGTAAAAATTGAAAGTTTCCGACCATACATAGCTTCAAGGCTCCTGAGCCATTTTTTTTGTAGAGCTAAACGATCAAATATTAGGGAAAAATGTTATTGACAACATCCGAAGACGAATTGCTTTACGAGCGAGTTGTTGTTGACAAAATTATGAGATTAATGACTTGGTTTACTGTATTTATGTTTAATTAGTAAATTTAAATAGCCATCAAAATAAAAATAATCTGATTAAAATTCCTCTCTCAAGACGAAAAGCTTATCATTAAATAAGTGATAACTCGCGAATAATTGCGAAAATTGTCTTTTGTAAGGCAAGGCATGAGAAATGTGGATAAATTGACAAATTGACTTTGTACAAATACCGAAGTTCATTGTAGAGATGAATAAACACGGGATGTAGTCCAGACTGTTAGCTATCCTGCTTTTAGTTTTCCCGTGTTTTGCTAAAGTTTTTTTTAGGGAAAATGTCATAACAGGGCGATTGACCTTTACAAAATTCATGCCCGCAAACATGCACGAAGCAACTTTGACGACCACATGCAACATTCAACTTGAGCCATCAAAAATTATGAATTTTTGTCATATATTAATGAAGACATTCGTTATAGAGAAAATACAGTAAAGTTCACTAAAAACTTCTAAAGATTCCACAAGATAAACTCTCTCATCATTTGTGGTGCAGCAGAGTCAAAGCCAGCTATATCAAGCATTCCAGGATCATCTGGGTCAGCAATAGTGAAACCACTTGATGTCATAGCAACCACAATGAGTTTAGCATCGTGAATCCCTGAGTGGTGACGATATTGTTTGAGAGCTTCCCTTGGATGAACATCGCCGTAATGTGTTTCAGAATTTGTGTAAACAATAAAGACATCGATCTTCAAATTTTTGTCAATGGCATAAAGCATGGGTTGAGCACAATCTGTTTTACCTTCTGGAATCTGAAAAATACAATATGAAAATTCATGCTTTACACTACATACTTCATAAACATCATCATATCTTGTCGCGCCAAGGGGCGATCCAAACTCGGGCTGGAAGTTTGAAAGTGTTGCGCGTGTTGTAGCAATCAGTCGAAATCAGGGACGGCACGTGAAGCCTTGCTACTTGTTCGCACTACATACTTTAAATCTTTCGAGTATTTTGAACAACTTACTTCATTACAAATGTTCAAAACTTCATCCAAATTCATGTTACTGGAGATCTTCATCGGAACTATTTCATGACTAAATGCAACAAATTCATGATGTTTTTCTGTTCGTGCTGTCATCATAGCCATTGCAGCAGAAGCCACATGAGGCTTTATTGTACTTGCACCAATACATCCACTGGATTGCATTGAGCCACTTACATCCATGGCTAGCATGCAACTTTTACCTGTTGGTTCAACATTCTAAAATTGTACAAAATAACATGAAAAATGCAAGACAACAAAAAATAGAACACATGAAAATACATCTGATTAGAGAACTTCAAAAGATGCAACTTTTATGTGAAAAAGATCAGCTCAAATGATTCATAATGTATACCATATATTTATACCACACAAGAAAAAATACTTACTATTTTTATAGAAATAAAAGAAGAGTAATCTATAACACATACAATCATCCTCCGCAATGAGTATAACTTGTATGTGAATAAAATCAGTACACATGATACATAATGTAAATAACATCTCATGCAAAGAGGAAAATTATGTTACAAAAATTGACTGTGTGTTCTGTCTACCTTAAATGATAAATAAAATGCTTTCTCCAATGCTTTGGTGATTTCCACATTGGCTTTCCATTCTAGAGAACCTTTCTCACCCTTCCCTGACTCATACATTTTCAAAGAAAATAACATATTAAATGGATGGATACGTGCATTTCTTAGCAGATCTTCATCACGCAGTTTATCACAAACATCTTTAACTTGAGGTGATCCTTCAGCAAGCAAGCCAATGGAAGTCATTTTGCTCAAGTTACGTATCATTGCAGTCATTGGCATTTTCTTTAACAGAGCATCCCACACCTAGAAACAAGTGTTTAAGAGTAAGAACAACAAGCGTTCCAAATTTACAACTTGTAAAATATCCTGTATTTTGCCAAATAAATTACAGCTTATCAATTATTGATTCAGAAACTTCGCAATTCTTGTATAATGAATTTCCAATTTATAAATATAAATTAAGTAAACTGATACCACAGTTGTAGTACAAACAAAGGGTCCAACATGACGATTATCACTAACATAAGCAATGACCTTAGAAGTTAGGAAAGCAAACTTAAGAAAACACCTCTATCGACAAAAATTCACACATCTTGAAACACTTCCTAAGTTCCTATCCTCACCTAATTGCAAATTACATTATGATGACGCCTGTTTTACAGTTCTTCGCGCTGACAATTTCTCTTCCACTATTAAAATTAAAGAAGCTCAAATTTGAACTTAATAAGCAGGTCACCGTGTTAAAATATTTTTTTAGTTTGTGAATATATTTTATGTTCAAAGTTCATTCACTTCACGTATTATCCGCTTTTTATATATTAATTACTTGTAAAGAAATTGTAACTCTAAACTTATCTCTATTGTCTGTAAATAACTTATCGAATGTCATGTATAGTATACAACATTTATGTAACTAAGCTCATTTAATTTGTTCGCACTGACGATGGCATAAGATTGCCTAAACATGTTTGCAAGAAAAAGGTTTGTATAGATACATTGTATAGAAACAAAAAGGTTTGTAAAGTGAATGTATAGAAACATTCACTTTAAAAGAAAAAACTCTCAGCTAAATTTATAAATTAGTTCAGTAAGTTAACACTGCGATAATTAAAAGTTCAGAAATGTAAAAAGAAAATTAAAAACGAAATGTTTGTACCTCTTTGGAATTAAGCCAATGTGTTGGAATATGTTCTCGAACAAGATTATGTTGATTTATCAGTTCAACCATTCTTGCCTCCTTTTGCAATGTTTTTACTTCTTCGACTGCCTTAAAAAACGTCAACATTGCACTGCCATTCTCTCCAATAGGACGATGTGGAGTTGTCTTATCTTCAGGAAAGAAATATTCAAAAAGCTTCTGCCAACCATGAACAACATACATCATTATAACAAACAACTCATCAGAAACATCAGTTCCTTCTGGCTTGAGATGCATTAACCTTGCAACATCTCGATGAGACCATCCTTCACGCTTTTGATATTTGGTGAGATCCATGGCCAGTTTCCATGGGTCTTTTTTTTTGTACCAAAGCTTTATCGCATTCCTATGGGCACGACCCCAACCTTTGCCAGGATGACTAAACAACTTGCAGAACTTATAAACCGACTATAAATATAAGAAAATATAAAAATTACAGAACCACGAATTACAATTTTCCATTATAAAAAGTATTTTTGATTGGTTTTTCTCTTCGACAATAACATGTTTGTTTCTGTATTGATTACGAGGAAAATATCCATTGATCAAGATATTGGTCGTCACATGAGTAATGATGTAATACGTAGAAACAAATAAAAGTATTTTTATATATAGCTATCATTATATTTTTAAGTTTATTGTAGACAAGCATATAGTTTGTACAATCAATTTTGAAAAAAAAATTTTATTATCGTCGTGTGCAAGCGCAAGAGCAAAAAATTATTTTAGTTGCAACACAGTGAAAGTTGAGAACGCTTTGATTTATTAAGAATGTTGCAGGTTTATGAACACGGATATATAAAAAATCATTCACAAAGGTATCCTTCTTCCACACTCTTTTCTGCATTAAGACAACCATCATTAATCCCTAGCACAAAGTTTATGTTTTTGTTTTGCATTCGATTGACAGTTGAGTATCTCACCGTCGTAAAATGGTGACAGTATAGGAATGAATAAACATTTTAAAAATTATTATTTTGCCCCATTATAACGGAAAGAGTTAAAAATAGCAATCTGTCAAAACGCTGACATTTTGAAAACAACGCTTGTTATTTTTTAAACCACTCAAACCAATATCTAAGTCACAAAGAGCATTTTCATAAAGAACATTTTTTGGCATGCATTTTAATTTTTTGCTGCCCACATCGGCTTTGCATACTTTTAACGAACTTATGCAAATATTCTAGTGTAACGATCGTATGTAAATATGCAGTACAGTTCCCTTTAAATGCTGAAACATTGAGATTGAAAAATCAAAGATGAAAGCATCTGTCGAGGGGAAAAGAGTTCGGAGAATTAAAGAACCTAATGTTTTTAAGGTTACCTTCTAAATAGCTTGTGTTCATCCAAAAGTGTTCATCTAAATTATCATCTGCATCTAAACACATGATAAAGAAAATAAACGTTTATATCACATGTTACACTACCCAGCTTTTGTAAAATATGAATAAAAAGTAGGTCCACAAACGGATAAAAGACGAAAAATGTCGGTCTGACTAAAATTTTGGGATATTTTATCCAATAAAGATACAATAAAGTTGATCCCATGACGTAAAACACTCCCCCTCAAACCTTTCAGCGAGCCATAATTTATATAGAATTTGCAGTTACGTAACCATTTATTGTATGTTATTCGGTCTTGCAAATATTACATGCATGGTTATAATAATATCGTGTGTTTGCAAAGAGAGAGTTGAACTAGTGAGTTGAACTACCTTACTTTGTGGTTTCTAATCTTTTGGGTGGAAAAATAACAACGTGGGTTTTATTGCAAGTTTTTCCGTAAAACTAATAATTCACTTTTACATAACACATCATAAATATCTATTGAAACAGTTATCTGTCACAAAAAAAGTTAAAGGAAACGGATAACTTAGATCCAACATCAGGGCATCTAGCTACCACCTAAACGCTAAATGAAACTATGTATTCGTAAACATAATTATTGGCTTTTATTTGTTATCAATAATGAAATAATATGTTTTAAAATGATGTTTTCAACAATATTTTATTTAAGTTCATTTGTGTACGTGTAACGTATACATGTAACTGACACGTTGATCATGATGGTTTTTACATTTCACTTTTAGCATCATAGCCAGTTTTCACTTTCTATACATATTGATCAAATTTCTATGTTTACAAAGTTTAAAATTTTCACATGATTTTGATCCACAGCATTTGCACTATTTTTGAATTAAAAGATTTTAGTTGGTTTCATATAACGATACCTTTTAAAATGAAGTTATCAGGTTACAAATTATTGTTTGTATTTAGCGTTGAAAAACATGGAAATGTTTGGGCAGCAAATGTTTGGTAAAAAAAATTCTTTTGCTTACCAGGTTTTGATGTGGAAGGCGAAACACCAATGATGACTTCACTGTTATTATCATCTAATAGATAAATCAAATTGATTGTTTGCAATGCAATTAAATAGCATTACAGGATGATGACAAATTCTAAAACTCTCTTATCTGACCCTTTACCAACGTATGAATAATACGCGTGATATAAACAACTCTTAATTGTTTGTGTTTGACTTTTAAAGGGAATGTAAAGATGTTTGTGCAAATGTTTGCTAACAAAATACAACTTCTTACCAAGTACTGCTGTAGAAGAAGTTTTGTCAATGTCGTCATAGTAGTTGTCACTCTTGGGAGATGGCAAAGACATCTTTTCGTAAGAAGCTGGAAATTAATGTATTACATTACAATGAAAATGCACATTGAATTCATGCTAAACATTGAACACGGCGAATAAGTTTTACGTGAATTTCAAAGGAGATTTATAGTATTTGTTAGTTAGAAAATTTATAGTATTTGTTAGTTAGCAAATTTGTCTCTTAATTAAGCTGAATTCATGGGCATTTTCTACCTTGGTTCTTTTTTTTCTCACGAAATTCTTGTAATCTTGTTGTCATTGAATCCTTTAAGAAATCACGTCCTTCTTCTTCGTATATTTGTATCAGATATTCCATAGCGTTCTCTTGTTTTTCTATATCTTCATCTTCTGTGACAATCTCCAGATACAGTTCATAAATATCTGCTGCTTCCCTATACTGCTCAAGTTTATCAAACAATTCTGCTAATTCCCATAAAACAGCCAACACTCCACTGAAAATTCCAGCTGAAGTAACAATTGACACGTTCTTCAAGTTATTCAAAAAATCTTTACCAACGTTAATACCACCAACTTTTCTTGGTCGTCGCAGTCGTTCACGCCGTTTATTTTGCTCTTGTTGATTTCCTTGTTGATTTTCTTTCCGTTGTCGAGGTTGCATTTCTTCTTCTTGGTGTTCACAATCAATAAAAGGGAATCCGTTTTTATAATGCTCCAAAGATTTCTCATAATTTTCAAGCAACTTATTCAATCCTCCCAATGCAACATGACAGAGACAGACCATTTCATATTTCTTAATACCATCCTCCAATCTTTTAGTGGTACAATGGATACTCCCCAATCCGAGGTATATTTGATGTTGAAAATATTTAATTTCTAGTTCAGAAGAAAGATTCAAGCAATCATTAAAGCAGTTTATTGCTTCCTCCCCTTTATCAGAGAGTGTGTAAGCATTAGCAAGACCAAATAATGCCATCATTTTGATGCTGCTCTCGCCTGCAACTTTTACACAATTATTGTAATGTTCAATAGCCGTTTCATAATCGCCATTATTCATGGAACAATTCCCTTCTTCCAAGATACCCATAACTGCTGGAACCGTGAAAGCTAGATCTCTTCTAGTAGTCACGCAAAAATTTATCCAAGTTCTCCATTGTTCTTCATGTGAACAGCAAACTTTTCTTTATTGTACTTATTTTTTTGCACCAAACATCAAAGTTAAACTGTTTAACTATATAAGACAAAATTATGAGCTTTATTTAGTCCACTCTTTAGTTTCAAAATTACAATAGAGGAAATTCATTTATGGAAGTTTAGAGCAACCAAATGAGAGATCTGACTAACATGTACGAAGAGTGTGTGTAGGGTGTTATATACCAATAGGTTAAAGTTAGGGCAATTTTGCAAATTGAAGGTAAACCAGTTCTCGACAATGAATGTTTTAAAATCCTCCCGATAAGTTTAGTAAGTTAATTCATTCATTCAAGTGCCCATTTCAGCAACATTAAATTTAGGAGTGATTTCCACCGTATTAGTAAAAAAGTTTTTAAGTTTCTCAAATCGCTCCATTTTTAAGGCTGTTTAATATAGGCGAAATGCTCCTTTTTATGGAGCTTGTCAGTCGCAGGAAAAGTTTGGGACGACTTACTTTTGTAACGTCATGCAAATTATTTATCAAGATATATATGTCAACCACGTGTTTGTCGGTAATTGCACGTTGCAAACCCCCACTCCCACAGTCACGAAAGTCACGCATCAAGACAATACTTAATTCTTCTAATTCTGTAAACTTCTTAAAGCTACAATACATTATTTAGCATATGAAGACAACGCAAGATGCGACAACTTGAAATTGAATAAAATGATCCATTAAAAACTTTCAGTCTGATTTCTTTGAGTATCTTTTTTCCTAGTATTTTTATACACAGGTGTTGAAACACGCGAAGAAGAAAACAATACAACAAAGTCTGGAAAATTTACAATCAATGTGACGATCTTTGAGATAACGGTATCACGAATATTGATTTCTTTACCATTTCTGTTCTCAATAAAGTAAATAGTTTCAACCCGGGACTATCGTTACATGTTCGTAAATGTAGATCGTCCAGGTTAGTATAGTCCTGAAAAGGACTGTTTTTGTTGTTTTTGAGATTAATATATATAAAATGAGACATTTGCTCTAACTCGTGTCTAATACATATTTTAGCAAAAATTGCGCATGCATAAACAAAGATGCGTCAATACCGAAACGTGCTTTGAAAAATCCTCAGCGTTTTATTGATGAATTTGTAGTAAATAATGATTTTTCTAGGAAAGAAAACCAAACAACAAAATAATTTGTTTAATATAGAAGTAAATGAAGTTGACCAGGATCAAAAAATTTTAAAATGTCTCGTAGTACAATGCCCTCGGTGCAGTCCAATCTTAATTCGTATGTAGTTTCCAAATAGGGAGGTACCCACACGTCACAATGCATTGTAAATTGCAACTTACATGACAAACTTATTATAAACCACAAAGTTCAGGTCTACAGCGCGATGAATCTGTGTCAAAAGAGAATCACAAGATGCACCAAGAATCAAATTCTTATAATCCGTTGGCCTTAGTTAGATAGTATACGGAAAAAGCACATGATTAAATCTTTGGAAGCTTCAAAAGATATACATTTGATAAAGTTGCGTTTAATCTATTCGAGATTGCAGTAACGCAGCATAGATAATTGGTTAATGATAAACTATCTCAAAAGGTTGATTCTTCTAATTCTCATCAATAAGGTGCTCCACCTTTATGAAATAAACTTATCAGCCTATAACTCTAAGTATTGAAATCATTCCCATGCATATTCTTTTTCATAAGAAAATTTGCATGAGTGTGATCTTCCTACCACGTTTATAATACCACTCTTGTCATGAATACACGTTAACAAAGTAAAAACCAATGTTATTGCCTTGTTTCTTGGAAATCGAAAATCTGCATCTTGACTAGAGAATAAAAACTGTACAAAAAATACACCAATTATTATGAAATGGTTTTAGTTTGAATTGTTATTGCCTAAATAGTTTTTACTTTGATTCCGGTGTGTTGCAAAGAATTATCCTGTTAAAAATATAATCTGAAGATTTGTACTCGGAAAATAGACATATAAATAAGGAAGAAAGACAGGCTTTATGTGATCAAATTTAACTTCTGACACAATGAATTTTCTAATGAATGAAAAAATCCGCAAAATTCAACCTTACGTTTTAAAGCGTTCCGGTTTTTAATATTGACTATTGATGAGAGTACAATACAACTAAGTCTGAAAAACTTACAAAAAATTCGCCGGTCTTCAAGTAATTCAACACTATTGACTTCTTCACCGTTTTTACTACCGTCTGACTACAAGGATCAAAACAACAAGACTGACTTGTTTTACAACTCCTCATACCTACATAAATTTTCTCAGTTTGAAAAGATCACAGCAAGATATAGTGACCTGGCGACCCTTGGTGGCGGAGATTGGAGGAGTTTCGAAAGGGCTTAGTTTAAATTTTACACGCAAATGCTTTCGAAAATGCCTTTGGTGTGGGACATAAGCAAGTACAATAGAGGAAACACAAAAAACAGTCGGTTATTCAGCTTAGTAACCTAGCAAAGCGGTAGTTTTAGACGCGCGACTAAAGCGACTGCCTAGTGTGTTTCAGCCTTAAGGTTTTTTTGATGCACTAAAATTTCAATATTTGCTTACAATCTTAACGAATGTACGCGAAAACAAATACTATAAGCACAAGCAACGTCTTTCGCCCGTTTTTAGTCGTGCTCACTCAGGCCGGCACGACCAAATTATATATTCCTAAAGGGTTAGAAACGACTGGAATGAGATGCAAAATTGAGCAATTGTATCTCCATGAAATGTTCCAAAAAGTCTCCCTTGTCTAACCGAACATTTTTGTTTTCATGCAAAGGTGTGAAAGTCGAGTTTCTGGCGCCTGAAAACTAGATTGCTCATTCAGCTTTTTACAACGCTGTCCATGCCGGATTCACAAGTTAACCATTTGTTATTGATCTATGATGTAAATGGCATTTGTAATTCCTAGGCATACTGATGAGCCCTGACATTGGGCGAAACAGCTATTTCAAAAAAATTATTTAGTTGAAATAAATTAATGATTTGCTTTGATTTGATTTGAAATGTAAAATGATTTTGAGAATTCAGATGTGATCGATTTTAAAATGTCTTGAACTGAATCAACCATAATGACACCACCGACTTATGTTAGCACCAATCATTTTAGTAATTCATGTTTACAATCACAACAGCACGACTAGTTGTTTTAGTGTAGCTACGCCACTGATGTTAGTCTTTGTTTTCTCGGTGCCGGTGCACGAGAAAACATGAGCCCAACAAAATTGACCAGCTCACCACTGTGTGACTTCATAGCTCAGTTGGTCAGAGCACTGCACCTGCACCGCAGAGGTCATGGGTTCGATTCCCGTTGAGTCACCTGATTTTTTCAGGTTTATGAGACAATTGCTTAAATTGTCCAACAAAGTGCGAAGATCATATCTTCATTTAATATATGTTTTTATTAATTATCTTTTCTTCTATAACAAAGAAATGTATTCCAACGCCGCTTTCAACAGATTTTACACTGTCTTAAAGCTTTTGTTTGAGCTAAATTGATTTAATCTTTATCTCTAACATCTGCATTCTTCCAAATTATCATTTTCCTATCCAATGACGATAATGACAATATTGAAAGTCATATTTATCCTTCAAATGACCATGACGTTTTTAAATTGTTGTTAAGTTTCGGTTGTTTTCATAAAGTTGGCAAGTCTTTGAACACGCATGGTTTGTTGAAAATGTTGTTAAGTGTGTGTTGTTTTTATACACTTACAGGAAAATTTTGCTGTCTAAAGTTAGCAAATTTTTGAACTAGCATGGTTTATTACAAAAAAACAAAGACTAACATCAGTGGCGTAGCTAGACTAAATCAACTAGTCGTGCTGTTGTGATTGTAAACATGAATTACTAAAATGATTGGTGCTAACATAAGTCGGTGGTGTCATTATGGTTGATGCACTCCAAGAAATTTTAAAATCGATCACATCTGAATTCCCAAAATCATTTTTTCATTTCAAATCAAATCAAATCAAATCATTAATTTATTTCAACTAAATAATTTTTTTGAAATAGCTCTTTCGCCCAATGTCAGGGCTCATCAGCATGCCTAGGAAATACAAATGCCATTTACATCATAGATCAATGACAAATGGTTAACTTGTGAATCCGGCATGGACAGCCTTGGAAAAAGCTGAATAAGCAATCTGGTTTTCAGGCGCCAGAAACTCGCCTTTCACACCTTTGCATGAAAACAAAAGAGTTCGGTTAGACAAGGGGGACTTTTTGGAACATTTCATGGAGATACAATTGCTCAATTTTGCATATCATTCCAGTCGTTTCTAACCCTTTAGGAATATATAATTTGGTCGTGCCGGCCTGAGTGAGCACGACTAAAAACGGGCGAAAGACGTTGCTTGTGCTTTTAAGCCATTGATTAAGGCAGGCATAGGGCTAAAACACAAGTATATTATTCATATCGTATTCATATTGCATTCATATCCGACTGCGAGAGAACAAGTAATTTTAAAATTCTCATCATTCTTGTTTTGCTTAGTATGGTGCATTTAATGAACCGGTAACTTCTACTTCTTTCGTTTTTCAAACATTAACGTATATGAAGTCGATCATCGATAATCTTCAATATTTGCCATAGTTGTAATTTACTTAACGTTCACAAAGACTATAGGAATATAGCTATTCTTTAAAACATAGATTAGACTGAAACTATGCGCTCCCCCCCCGAATATAGGTAATGAATGCAAACTTGAAGAGATTAATTTAATTCAAATGCTGGAAAATCCAGATAATGTTTGATACGCAGAATAATGTTTCATATACAAGTATCTGACATAGAACAAGACATTTCCGACATTTTCAATTGTACGATGAGCTAATCGTTTCTTGTTAAATCATTTCATAAAAATGTTCACGAATGACAATATTTAAAGTATCAATGCAAAATGGTTTATATACATATCATAAATGAAAAAATTAATTTAGACAACATCAAGAACAGTTTTCTCAAGAATTATATTCTTCATAATACAATTTGCTTGCGTGTCCACTTCCGCCAACGTAGTTCATAAAATTGTCATGAAGAAGAAAAAAGTATACACGCTAACAAAGCTAAAGCATCGTGAATACGTTAAATATAACACTGTCGAGATTCTGTATGTATGAAAGTTTAGTTGTGATTAAAAATGCAGCAAAAAAAACACTCTAATGCTATAGAATTGTTTAAGTCCGTATAGTTACTGCCTACAAACTTTATGTTTTTTTGCGTGATGGGTAGAAAATCTTTATTTCTACACTAAATCGGAGTATTTGTACAGGGAGATATAAATAAGTTACATACACAAACTTTCGGCAATGAAAATTAACGTCTGACGCAATATAATTTTCTTAACGTTGTTAATATATACACCCTAAAAGAAATCACAAACTCAAGTATTTTTAAAGAATATCAGCCTTTAATCATGTAAAGAATACAATATAACAAAGTCTGGTAAACATACAGATAAGCCACTGATCTCCAATCACAGTCTCCTATAGTTATTTCAACAAGTGTATTTCTATAACGTTTCCGTCAGGTATGAAACATCAATAATAACGCCTTGTTTGCAATGTCGTCATAAAAAAGATTATTTTAACAATGTAGAAATTTCAAAATAACAGCAGGAAGCAGTGCTGTAGAAGTGGGGGCGCTTGGGTGAGGAGTCGCCCTTCTTTCTTTGAAATGGGTGATTTTTCATAATTTCATGACTTCAGCTTCGTCAAGAGAGAGCCCCCCAACTGATAAATTTAGTTCTACAACACTGGTTGGAAGTACTAGTCCGTATTCTGTGCATTAAAAAGTGGCTTAGAAAACGATTTTTGTTTCCCCCACTCGTGCACCTTGCTTCTTTTCAATTTTAATGCGTGAATACTTGGCTATCAGTGGCGTAGCTAGAGCTGCTCAGCACGACCAATCATTTGATGCACTGAAATTTCAATATTTGCTTACAATCTTAACGAATGTAAGCGAAAACAAAATCTATTTCTATGCGTCCTTTGCATTTTGCAATACGTCATATTGCACACACTATACTTGTGTTTTAACCCGATGCCTGCCTTAATCAATGCCCTAAAAGCACAAGCAACGTCTTTCGCCCGTTTTTAGTCGTGCTCACTCAGGCCGGCACGACCAAATTATATATTCCTAAAGGGTTAGAAACGACTGGAATGATATGCAAAATTGAGCAATTGTATCTCCATGAAATGTTCAAAGCCTCCCTGGTCTAACCGAACTTCTTTGTTTTCATGCAAAGGTATGAAAGGCGAGTTTCTAGCGCCTAAAAACCAGATTGCTCAATCAGGTTTTACAAGGCAGTCCATGCTGGATTCACAAGTTAACCATTTGTCATTGATCTATGATGTAAATGGCATTTGTAATTCTTAGGCATGCTGATGAGCCCTGACATTGGGCGAAAGAGCTATTTCAAAAAAATTATTTAGTTGAAATAAATTAATGATTAGATTTGATTTGATTTGATTTAAAATGAAAAAATGATTTTGAGAATTCAGATGTGATCGATTTTCAAATTTCTTGGAGTGCATCAACTATAATGACACCACCGACTTATGTTAGCACCAATCATTTTAGTAATTCATGTTTACAATCGCAACAGCACGACTAGTTGATTTAGTGTAGCAACACCACTGATGTTAGTCTTTGTTTTTTTTTAATAAACTATGCTAGTTCAAAAATTTGCTAACTTTAGACAGCAAAATTTTCCTGTAAGTGTATAAAAACAACACACACTTAACAACATTTTCAACAAACCATGCGTGTTCAAAGACTTACCAACTTTATGAAAACAATCGAAACTTAGCAACAATTTAAAAACATCATGGTCATTTGAAGGATAAATATGACTTTCAATATCGTCATTATCGTCATTGGATACGAAAATGATAATTTGGAAGAATGCAGATGTAGAGATAAAGATTAAATCAATTTAGCTCAAACAAAAGCTTTAAGACAGTGTAAAATCTGTTAAAAGCTGCGTTGCAATACATTTCTTTGCCATAAAATAAAAGATAATTAACAAAAATATAAATTATTCATATCGTATTCATATTGCATTCATATCCGACTTCGAGAGAACAAGTCATTTTAACATTCTCATCATTCTTGTTTTACTTAACATGGTGCATTTATAGAACCGGCAACTTTTACTTCTTTCGTTTTTCAAACATTAACGTATATGAAGTCGATCATCGATAATCCTCAATATTTGCAATAATTGTAATTTAAATAGCGTTAACAAAGACTATAGAATATAGCTACTCTTTAGAACATAGAGTAGACTGAAATTATGCGCTCCCGAATATAGGTAATGATGCAAACTTGAAGGGACTAATTTAATTCAAATGCTGGAAAATCCAAATAATGTTCGATATACAGAATTATGTTTGATATACAGAAGTATCTGACATAGGACAAGACATTTCCGACATTTTCAGTTGTACGATGAGCTAATCGAAGACAAGCAATCGTTTCTTGTTAAATCATTTCATGAAAATGTTCACGAATGACAACATTTAAAGTATCAATGCAAAATAGTTTATATACATATCATAAATGAAAAAATTATTTTAGAAAACACCAAGAACAGTTTTCTCACGAATTATATTTCTCATAATACAATTTGCTTGCGTGTCCACTTCCGCCAACGTAGTTCATAAAATTGTCATGAAGAAGAGAAAGTATACTCGCTAACAAAGCTAAAGCTTCGTGAATACGTTAAATATAACACTGTCAAGATTCTGTATGTATGAAAGTTTAGTTGTGATTAAAAACGCAGCAAAAAAAACACTCTAATGCTATAGAATTGTTTGAGTCCGTATAGTTACTGCCTACAAACTTTATGTCTTTTGCGTAATGGGTAGAAAATCTTTACTTCTAAACTAAATCGGAGTATTTGTACAGAGAGATATAAATAAGTTACATACACAAACTTTCGGCAATGAAAATTAACGTCTGACGCAATATAATTTTCTTAACGCTGTTAATATATACACCCTAAAAGAAATCACAAACTAAAGTATTTTTAAAGAATATCAGCCTTTAATCATGTAAAGAATACAAAATAACAAAGTCTGGCAAACTTACAGATAAGCCACTGATCTCCGATCACATGGCTTTGATGGACGATGACCGTCTTAACAAAATTATGGGAATGCAATACATTTCCAATGACCAATTCAAAGCCATATGAATAAAATTGTTCATGTATCGTCTGTTTTGTCATATCAAATTAAAAAACGAATAAACACTTGGCGGAGGAAATAAGAAAGACTTATTCTAAACCATGAGCATTTCATATTTTTACTATGTCTCTAAAGTTAAACTAGAGTATTTTGTAGTACAAAATTTGTATATCTTATAATTCTTCTTAAGTCGATGTTTATTAATAAAACTTACTTTTTAAATTTGTCTTCGTTGTAAAACGTCTTCCTGCCAAATGATGTAACTTTGCGGAATTATGAATGAACGTTTGCAGGTAAATCCATGACGACGGTCGTTTACCAATGGAACTCCCTGAAATAGAAACGTTTAATAAATTGCCATGTTTATTTAGAAATTTCAATCATTAGTATTTAAATTGAAAACTAACACGCAGTTTTCTCTCTTTATGTCAGTCGATGCGTCATTTCTGACAGTTTCAAAAACAACTTCATAAAATTTTAGACATGTTTCAACAACTTATGAAAACAGTATCTGAAGACGTCTATCTTTGTGAGAAGCAGTCTTTAGCAGATAGATAAGGAATCAGTCGTCACATAATAACTAAGATCCTGTGGAGAGAAAAGTGCAGCATTTTAACAAAAAGGCGCTGTCATAGCAGGTGCTATTTGTGACGCTGCCTGTTTCGAAAAACCATTATTAAAACAGCTGTTACAAAAAGGTAATTTACGCGGCTATGAATTTAATTTTGTTTATGATGGCTTAGGTCGAGTATTGTCGAGACAGGAAGAAATCGAAGAACGAGGCATTGAGAAAAGATAGATCCACTGGAGAGATCACATATAGAAAGTCTCCAAAACAAAACGCTCACGATACAAGTCGCAAGTTACAAGCAATTTTGGAAATAATCACTAGAATCGTTGTCAAATCTAGAACGAATGTATATTTCTTGTAATGTTCACTGTAGATATGATACAATGCCACATGCAACATAAAAAATGTAACATGTAACAGCATTTTAAGTAAGACGAAGATTTGGAGATGACATTTATAAAGCCTGCATGAATACAAAGTTAAGTTTAATCAAAGGAAATAACACAGTTTGTGGAAACGTTGAATGATAACATTTCCTTGCAATATATGCTGTATTCTTGCAATCAAGACTGGCAATCAATCTTTTTTAATTAGAGGCAATGGGTTCAAAATAAACATTAATAAGCAATATTAATCGATCATTTCAAAGAAACACAAACCTTCATTTTCCACAACAGAAAAAAATCAGAGATCATGACAGATAACAAAATCCTGTTGTAATTACTGGAGGAATGTCTTCGTGACCTTAAAATGAACGAGGATAGTTGCTTTGATCTGCGTAGATGCACTTTTGTGAGAGGAATCTATAATAGCAACTCTTCATTAGAGTAACTTTAAACTTCTCAACCAATCAAGCACCAACAAACAATTGTCAATAACCAACAATTTACACATAAACTCTTTCACCTTTCCTTGAGCTTCAAGGAAATAATCACAAACAGAGCGACCTAAAACACTTTCTCCAATCGTTTTCCAGAAATATATCCCTAAATATACGTGGAAGATATCAGATGACCCAGAGTAACCACGTTCAGTGTACGGTAATGTTGTGATAACCAAATAATAGTGGAGCATAAGAATTTTCTTTGAAACGCCTTAATTTTTGTAAACATACTTACGGCTACCCTATACGACTCGCTTTAATAATTTTCTCCAGCTTGAAATAGAAAAGATGTACATGTTCGTAACATATTCAACTTTTATGACGAAGTATATAACAAACATTACATTGATTTGCAAGATGCTTTACGACTATAATTAATACACACATTTCCCTAATTGCTTTTCATGCATTCACATCCTACATTAATTAAGACCTTTACATACATATATGATCAAATTTAAGTTTATTAATAATCCATACTTCAGTGACTATACATGCAAGTAATTCTTGACATAACTTTATGAATCAATTTCTTGGTCGTTGCTCAAGTTAACAATTTGAAAGTGGCACATGATTAGTTAAAAGTTTGTTATACTTCATTTTCCATCAAGATTACGGTTGTCAATAATATCTTCACTTTTCTTTCCATTGACTTCCTTCAATTTTCACAGGATTATGTTTCCTAAAAACGTTTGAAACGGAAAAAAATAGAACTTAATTTTACTTAACGTTGAGAAGGTTGGAAACATTTATAAATTGCTTAAAACATACATCTTAAAGAGTAGAAAAAATAGTTAAATGTGACAGAGAAGTATGTTATTATACATGAAACTCAAACATGGCTAAGTCGTTAAAATGGGGTATTATTTAAATAGCTTACATGTAAAATGTTTTTGCAATTTAGGTCTTGTTTTCCAGTCAGTCGATCTAATAATTTTGTGCACCAGTAGAGGAAGTTCGGGAAAACGTTGCATGAAATACTCTTTATAGTTGTCTTCCTTGATATATGACGATAGGCCTGAACGAGATTTATCATGCTAGTGCTCATCAACGTTGCGTAAGAATCTTAAACAGCTTGCCCATGAAGACTCGTAGGTTACTGTCCTTTATTTGTTGTTTACTTCAAATGTTTTTAAATCTTTCAAAACTTCATCATCGATAAGCTCCATCCATTTTGAACGAAAATTCAACTGCTCACGAACATCTAAATTTTGACATTGTGGTTGTTTTATCTCCGGTTGGTTCCCAACTTTACTCAGCATGTCAAACATTTCCTCATTAGATCGTAGATAAGGATGTTTAAACGCCTCGTTGGGTGATGGCCTGAGTTCAGGCTTATGCTGTAGCATCCATGAAAGAAGATCTTTAAGTTGAACATCATCAATTTTCTTCAAGCCAACAGGGTTTCCATATTTCAAGTTTTCCAATATACTCTCTTTAGTTCCAAAAGCATGTTCCCCTTTTGTTGCAACATAATAAGCCACCATTCCTGCACTCTAATATTCATAAAAAACCCATAAATAGTCACAACATCAACTGTAGATACTGAAATTCTAAAAATTTGAGTTTCATCGTTATTTGCAGAACTGAACAATAGCTATATATTTTTTAACGAACATATCTACCATTATATCAGAGTCTTTCTTGTAACGACCATCAATCAAGGATTCAGGTGCAATCTAATACTGAGTTCCCCGATTAGCATCGCTTATATGTGTGTTACAGTCACTCTCCAAAATTCGACTAATACCAAAGTCAGCTATCATAAATTTGCCTTCCACGTCTTGGAGAACATTAGAAGGCTTTAAATCTCGATGAAGAATAGAACTTGGGCCACTATGAAGATCAGATAATCCATTTAAAATTTGTCTAAGGATTTCGGGAAGGGCTTCGTGAAGTTTATCTAAGCTAGTAGACTCAACAAAACTTGCCAAAGTTTGTTCGCACAAGTCTAATATCAAATAGACAAATTGTTCCCCTTCCTCTTCTACAAAGTTCCAATACATTACAACATGCTTCGACTTCTTTGCGTTTGGCTCATACAAAACATTCTTTTCTCGTAGAGCAATATGGATACAGCTATCATTAAGGATTCGTTTAACAGCTTTTCCATAACCATCTTTTCCCAAACCAAGATAAACACAGGTTCCACCACTTTCTTCGCCAATCAAAAACTTTTTCATAAAAATCACACGTACATCGCCTTTAATTCTAATATCACCTGGATGTTCAAGCCAATGTTTTTGCATCATTTCAAACTTTTCGCGATGCATCACTGATTCGTCAACGCAATTCCATTTTTGCGACTTCCCAACTTAAAATAATTGTATGCCATTTAGCAAAATATAAAAAATAGTCAAATAGTCAATAGACATTTCAATTGTTTTAATATTAATTTGGTGTAAAAGTTTTCATCAGTCTAAAATTTCAGTACGCCTCTGGCTCTGTTAGTTTCAAGTGCAAGCACAAATCATGGTTTCAAAGTACGTTTGCTACATAATCACAATATAAACTGCGAAAATGCGACCTACATTTTAACATTAGATAATCAACAGGAATGTGGGTTCGATATGTAACATTTTTATTGCAAACAATTAGGTTTATAGTTAAAATAGTGTCTTACCAAATTTGTGATATTCATTGACGTGTATCTGGGCTAGAAACTTTAGATTGAGTATTTTGTAGTCCGTTTTCTCAGCAATTTCAAGTGGGCTTGAATAAGTGTATGTCTCTGTAGTAAAAAGAACAATAAATACTATTAACATAAGTAACATAACAGTAACCATTGCAACCAGACTGCAAAAAAAATCGCAAAAAATTAAAATTTAACTATTCTAATCATGTTAAGGTTACTTGGCTGTGAATTATAAGAAAAGTATAACAGTTGCAACTCAAATCTATTATTATTAGTAACACAATAAGAATTTTTTTCAAAAATTGTAGCATTAACAACTTTATTATTCTATTTTTCATCGAAACACTCAGAGATACTTGTAACCACACTCTACCCCCTGGAGAAGTCGCAAATGACACAGAAGTTGTCAGATGCTTATTATCTTTTTATGAACATTGTATTTTTTAGTCTATGATATATTTGTTAGCTTTTGACGCACAATTGTTTTGTATTTGTTCAAACCTAGTACTTAAAAATCAATGTTTGTTAATATATTTGGTAAAACACATGACGTAGTTTCTAAAGGTACGTTTACACAAAATGTTTTGTCGAGCCAACATTTACAGGTATGTTAACACAAACGATTTGTCGGACCGACACTGACGCCTTATTACGTGTTCTTGTCTTACATGGAAAGGCGCCGGACTCAAAAAATCGGATGAAAATCTTTAGCAAACTACAGATTTGTGACCGATTTTTACTATGTTGCTATAGTTTCTAAAATAAGCAAATTATGACCATCGAAAATAATTATCGAAATGTCTTCTGTCGAAACAGAAAAAGAAAGTGTTGAGAGGATTGTTGTTTTCATCGAATAACCAAAAGCTGCATAATATTGCGTCTGTTTAAACATCTACAATAGTGAAAAGTGTATTTTATATTATACTAAAAACATTCAACTCGAACAATAATATAATGATTTCCACTATGCTGACCTCGTTCATGTTCCTGATATGTTCTCTCGTCAGCTTTCTCTAAAACATCACAAAGACACAAAATTATGAAAAATTGATAGTCAAAAAGTCGATTGCTATATGTATATTTTTTTATACTTCTATGACTTTATTTATATTGTATTATCAATTGTCATTACCGTTTGTCATATTAAAAACGTTTCCATCAGTAAAATATTAAAGAAAAATTGAAGGAAAATAAAATGAAACAACTTTTTACCTTTATAAGAGGCAGTTCGACCATTGTCGTCACGGTTGGTGTTGTTCAATGCAGTGTCATCGTCGATGTGTTTATCACCAACGGATAGAGTGTCGCCATCGTTCCTCGGTTTAAAAAACTGACCACCCTGAAGGCCGAGTGCTTTTAAGGCAATGTTTAATCTCAAGCAGATATAATATTTCTCTATGGTCTCTCCGTCACAGTCAGCTATTTCTGCAATTCCATACGCAAACGGTTGCCAATTATTTTTTTCATCCAAAAAATAAACAAGAACACCAGCGTACTGAAGAAATGACTCATCAAATTTTATCTTGATAACATTACGCAAAATCACATGTCTTTCAACAAAAACTGAATACTTAAGGTCACACAAGTAGCCCTCATTACCAGTGGCTGTGCGAACTTTCACAGATTCCCCTTGGCATAGCTTTCCGTGAATTTTGCTAAATACGTCATCAAAGTTTGAGTTAACATCTTCCAATTCATCACCAACATGTTTCGGAAAATCTTCTTCATTGCCAACAATGATAGACATGATATCAATTTCAGGACCATAAAAGAAGTCAGAAAAATGACCAACCACGCTGTTATTATCCGAGAAAGTATATTTATTTTCATACAATAAACGCTGAATGCTTTCTTTGTTTTTACTAATTTCATCTTGAATCGCAAGAAGGTCATCATTCCTCTTCACATGAAGTCCCAAACCAACGTGGCAACAAGTTAACGCGTAATATTTTTCATCTTTACGGCAGAACAGGGTCAACTTACCGCAAGACCCCTCATTAGGCATATCGTAGTGTTGAACACAAATCATGGTGGATAGTCGTTGAATTTTTCTTTTCGTCAACGTAATTTCTCATTAATTTGTCATATCAGTATCTGTAATATGTAAAAATTGATTATGAGAAAGATGAGAAAGATGCACATTATATGTGTTAAAGCTCAAAACCATCGGTTTACACAACTGGAAAAGAGGGAGGGGGGTCAATGTCTTACTTAGCACTTTCATTTTTCAAACAAGCATCATTTTGAACTATTTTTATATAAATGTTTTTACTTGTCACAAACAATTAATCTTGAAAAATTATTATAAACGTTTACTTTCACCCTGCTTTATGATTTAGAAATATGGGTGATTTACTTGTTATTAAAATCGCAAAGAAATCCTCCAATACCATCCAATTGTTTCAGTCTGCATGGTTATCACTTTTTAAAAACATCAAAATAAAAAGAAAATTAAAAGGGACGAATTTTATGAGAGAAAATAGTTATCATTAACCAAAGGACTAACACATTTGCTGCACTGACACAAAAACCCTTCCCTGAAAAAACGGGATTTGTCTAGGGAACTACACGAATTAAGAGTCAATGTAGTTCAAATTAAGTGTAAAAAAGCATACGAGGTGAATGTGTGTGGGAGAGGGTGGTGTTATATTCCCAGTTTTAGGCAAGTAGTCGGTGATAATATGAAGCGTCACCACATCAGAAAAACTTCAAGAGGTTGAAGGTAGTGCACTTTTAAATATTTACCAACCTATAGTAATATTGCATTGAACTAGTAAGCCAATTCTTGATAATGAATAATGTTGTTTCATTTTCTCAAAATAGGTTTGTATGTAACCAATTCCTTTGTAAACATATGTAACAATAAAAAGTTAAAAAAAATTTAAATAAACACTTTTAGAAGTGGACTTAATTAAACAGCCCCGTTTTCTTTAATTGGTTATTTATGCCTCTCGTCTTTAGCACAAATGGCCCTATACAATACTCATCATGTTTGAGACACAACTCATGTAGTTTTACAGCTTTAAATAAAATGAATTGTTTGGATTCTTTCAAATAATTTATATCAATTGAGAAATAATTGTGTTTTTCTTGTTTGTATATAAAACGACATCATACTATACATAACTCCTGGCTATTCATGTTTGACAGTGGCTTACATGTGATTTTACGATTTTTATGTGCTACATTAACAAATTTTACATCTACGGTCTATATTTCATTGGCGATATTAAATTTAAGTGCGATTTCTAGTCATCAGTAAAAAGTTTTTGATTTGATCAAATTATTCCATTTTTATGGCAGTTTAAAGTTGTGAAAATGCCCTTTTTGATGGACGATGTTCGTCTTAAGAAAATTATGGGAATGCAACACATTTCCAATGACCAATTCAATGAAATTGTTCATGTACCGTCTGTTTTGTCATATCAAATTAAAAAACGAATAAACACTTGGAGAAAGAAATAAGAAAGACTTATTCTATACCATGAGCATTTCATATTTTTACTATGTCTCTAAAGTTAAACTAGAGCATTTTGTATATCCTATAATTCTTCTTAAGTCGATATTTATTGATAAAACTTACTTTTTAAATTTGTCTTCGTTGTAAAACGTCTTCCTGCCAAATGATGTAACTTAGCGAGTGTCGGGATTTATGTATAAACGTTTGCAGGTAAATCCATGACGACGGTCGTCTACCAATGAAATTCCCTGAAATAGAAACGTTTAATAAATTGCCATGTTTATTTAAAAATTTCAATCATTAGTATTTAAATTGAAAACTGACACGCAGTTTTCTCTCTTTATGTCAGTCTTAAAAATCGATACGTCATATATGACAGTTTCAAAAACAACTTGATCAAATTTTAGACATGTTTCAACAACTTATGAAAACAGTATCTGAAGACGTCTATCTTTGTGAGAAGCAGTCTTTAGCAGATAGATAAAGAATCAGTTGTCAAAAAAGAAGTGAGATCCTGTGGAGAGAAAAGTGCAGCATTTTAACAAAAAGGCGCTCTCATAGCAGGTGCTATTTGTGATGCTGCCTGTTTTGAAAAACCATTATTAAAACAGCTGTTACAAAAAGGTAAGTTACGCGGCTATGAATTTCATTTTGTTTATGATGGTTTAGGTCGAGTATTGTCGAGACAGGCAGAAATCGAAGAACGAGACAGTGAGAAAAGATAGATCCACTGGGAGGTCACATAAAGAAAGTCTCCAAATCAAAACGCTCACGATACAAGTCGCAAGTTACAAGCAATTTTGGAAATAATCACTAGAATCGTTGTCAAATCTAGAACAAATGTACATTTCTTGTAATGTTCACTGTAGATATGATACAATGCCTCATGCAACCTGAAAAATGTAACATGTAACAGCATTTTAAGTAAGACGAAGATTTGGAGATGACATTTATAAAGCCTGCATGAATACAAAGTTAAGTTTAATCAAAGGAAATAACACAATTTGTGGAAACGTTGAATGATAACATTTCCTTGCAATATATGCTGTATTCTTGCAATCAAGACTGGCAACCAATCTCTTTCAATTGGAGGCAATGGGTTCAAAATAAACACAAATAAGCAATATTAATCGATCAATTTAAACAAACACAAACCTTCATTTTCCACAACAGAAAAAAATAAGAGATCATGACAGATAACCAAATCTTGTTGCAATTACTGGAGGAATGTCTTCGTGACCTTAAAATGAATGACGATAGTTGATTTGATCTGCGTAGATGCACTTTTGTGAGACGAATCTATAATAGCAACTGTTCATTAAAGTAACATTAATCTTCTCAACAAAACAAGCACCAACAAACAATTGTCAATAACCAACAATTTACACATAAACTCTTTCACCTTTTCTTGAGCTTCAAAGATATAATCACAAACAGAGCGACCTAAAACCCTTCTCTAATCTTTTTCCAGAAATATATCCCTAAATATACGTGGAAGATATCATATGTCCCAGAGTAACCATGTTTAGTGTACGGTAATGTTGAGATAACCAAATAACAGTGGAGCATAAGAATTTTCTTTGAAACGCCTTAACTTTTGTAAACATACTTACGGCTACCCTATACGACTCGCTTTAATAATTTTCTCCAGCTCGAAATAGAAAAGATGTACATGTTCTTAACATATTCAACTTTTATGACGAAGTATATAACAAACATTACATTTATTTGGAAGATGCTCTACGACTATAATTAATACAAAATTTCCCTAATTGCTTTTCATGCATTCACGTCCTACATTAATTAAGACCTTTGCATACATATATGATAGAATTTAAGTTTATTAATAATCCATACTTCAGTGACTATACATGCAAGTAATTCTTGATATGACTTTATGAACCAATTTCTTGGTCGTTACTCAAGTTAACAATTAGAAAGTGGCACATGATTAGTTAAAAGTTTGTTATACTTCATTTTCCATCAAGATTACGGTTGTCAATAATATCTTCAATTTTCTTTCCATTGACTTCCTTCAATTTTCACAGGATTTATGTTTCCTAAAAACGTTTGCAACGGGAAAATGTAGAACTTAATTTTACTTAACGTTGAGAAGGTTGGAAACATTTATACAATGCTTAAAACATACATCTTAAAGAGTAGAAAAAAAAAATGTCAATGTGACAGAGAAGTATGTTATTATGCATAGAACTCTAACATATCTAAGTTGTAAACATGGTGTATTATTTGAATAGCTTACAGGTAAAATGTTTTTGCAATTTAGGTCTTGTTTTCCAGTCAATCGATCTAATAATTTTGTGCACCAGTAGAGGAAGTTCGGGAAAACGTTGAATGAAATACTCTTTATAGTTGCCTTCCTTGACAAACTTCCTTGAGTGAGTATCAAAATTAAATCGGGGATATTTATATCATCATGGAAGCCTATTTCAGTAATGTCTTTGAAAAAGGAAAATTATGTTTATGGCTTACAGGTAAAATGTTTCTTGAGATCAGGTCTTGTTTTCCAGTCAGTTGACCTTATGATTTTATGCACACGAACAGGAAGGTCAGGAAAATGTTGCAAAAAGTACTTTTTATAGTTTCCTTCTTTAACATATGGCGATAGATGTGGACGAAGCTTATCCTTCCAATGCTGGCCAACGTTTCGTATAAATCTTAAACAACTTGCCCATGATGACTCATAATTAACTTTTCTGTTACTACTTTGAGAAGTTGTGAAATCTTCGAATACTTCATCGTCGATAAGGTCCATCCATTTTGAATGACAATCCAACTGCTTACGAACATCTGAAATTTGATATTGTGGTTGTTTTATTTCCAGTTGGTTCCCAACATCACACAGCATGTCAAACTTCTCCTCATCGGATTGTAGATAAGGATGTTTTAACGCCTCGTTGGCTGATGGCCTGAGTTTAGGCTCATGCTGTAGCATCCATGAAAGAAGATCTTCAAGTTGAAAGTCATCAATTTTCTTCAAGCCAACAGGGTTTCCATCGAACAAGTTTTTCAGTCTATACTCTAAAGGTCCAAAAGCATGTTCCTCTTTTGTTGCAACATAATAAGCCACCATTCCTGCACTCTAATATTAATAAAAAAACCCCATAAATAGTCACAACATCAACTGTAGATACTAAAATGCTAAAAAATTGAGTTTATTAGTTATTTGCAGAACTGAACAATAGCTATATATTCTTTAACGAACACATCTACCATTATATTAGACTTTTTCTTGTAACGACCTTCACCCAAGGATTCAGGAGCGGACCAACCATAAGTTCCTCTACCAGAACTGCTTTGATGTGTTGATTTACTTTTCAATATTCGACTAAGGCCAAAGTCAGCTATCATAAATTTGCCTTCCACGTCTCGAAGAAAATTAGAAGGCTTTAAATCTCGATGAAGAATAGAATTTGGGCGACTATGAAGATCAGATAATCCACTTAAAATTTGTCTAAGGATTTCGGGAAGGGCTTTGTAAAGTTTATCTAAACTAGTAGACTTAACAAAACTTGTCAAAGTTTGTTCGCACAAGTCTAATATCAAATAGACAAAATCTTCATCTTCCTCTTCTACGAAGTTCCAATACTTTACAACATGCTTAGACTTCTTTGCCTTTGGGTTATTCAAAATATTCTTTTCTTGTAGAGCATGATAGGTATCGTTATATTTAAGGATTCGTTTTACAGCTTTTCCATAACCATCCCTTCCCAAACCAAGAAAAACACAGGTTCCACCACTTCCTTTGCCAATCAAGAACTCTTTCATGAAAATCACACGTACATCGCCTTTAATTCTAATATCACCTGGATGTTCAAGCCAATGTTTTTGCATCATTTCAAACTTTTCGCGATGCATCACTGATTTGTCAACGCAATTCCATTCTTGCGAGAACCCAACTGAAAATAATTGTATGCCATTTAGCAAAATATAAAAAACATTCAAATAGTCAATAGTCAATAGTCAATGTCACTGGACTTTGAATCTCTCAAACAAAAAATATCAAATTTACCAATTTTTGAAGTTGACTCGGCACTCAGAAGATTAATTTTTCTCTTTTCTTCGACTAAAAGGTTAAAGTTATCATTATTCACTCATGAAAACATTTCATGCAATTCTTAGCTACAATCCTCAGCACTGCTTATACATAATTTATTAAAATTATTTCAATTTATGATTTTCTCACTAATAAAAAATTCCACCACATTAGATATACCTTTGAATGTTGATGCACTGCTTCTTGGTTCTTCAAGACAGGTATACGAAAATGAACTTGACTCTAAAACAAACAAAAGATAGCGTAAAACACATAAACTCTTTCACCTCAGTAAAGAACATGCCAGGTTTTTTTAAACAGGAATATACAGTGCCATTTCGTAATTGAATTATAGGATAGTTGTATCATTCGGACTTTAAACACCTTTTGATAAAAATATGACAGAAAATCATCATATATTTGCACATAGATCGTGAAACAAACATTTAGCTAATGCAATCGATGTTTACTAATGACAATGCAAAGTAAAATCTTACAACTATATAAATGATCATGGAGCTATATAACATAGGTACTTTGTGGAAACTCAGCAGCAGAGTATAAGAATAAAAATTGTGCAAGTATTTAATTTACGTGTCTTTCCATCAACTACTTTGTTTTCCACAAAATGTATGGTATCTAGAAATATTTGCAAGAGTAATTGCTTAAATTCAAGCGATATTAAATACAAATATATTTTATAATTTAGGCGAACAAGTAGAGTGAAAATTACAATCAAAGTTTCGACATTGTAAATCGTAAATTGAACTCTGTATATAGCTACTTAATTGGTATACACTAAAAATAATTTCGAATGCTTTACTTACTCGTAAAATGTTTTTTGAGATCAGGTCTTGTTTTCCATTCAGACGATCTAATAATTTTATGCACCAAAAGAGGCAGTTCAGGAAAACGTTGCAAGAAGTAGTCTACATAGTTGCCTTCCTTGACATAACGCAACAGATGTGTACGAGGTTTATCGTTCCAATGCTCATTCACGTTTCTTATGAATCTTAAACACCTTGCCCATGTAGGCTCGTAAGTCAGATTTTTCTGTTTGCCATTCTTTTTTAAGGTTTTGAAATCTTTCAAGACTTCATCATCGATACGCGTCATCCATTCCATGGGAGCATACAATTGCGCAACAACATGTGAATTCGGAGAGCTATGACCTTGTGATTGTATCATTTCCAGTTGGTTTCCCATATCACATAGTATGCTAAATTTCTCTTCTTGGGATTGTAGATAAGGGTGTTTTAACGCCTCGTTGGCATTTGGTCGTAGTTTGGGTTCTACCTGTAGCATCCATGATAGAAGATCTTCAAGTGAAGCATCTTTGATTTCCTTTAAGCCAACAGGGATTCCATGTAACAAGTTTTTCAGTCTATACTCTGGAGGTCCAAAAGGATGTTTCCCTTTTGTTGCAACATAATAAGCCACCATTCCTGCATTCTAAAATATATAAAAACGTAACAATGTCAGCAAAAGATTTCAAGAAAATTTGGAAGTAATTTGAGAATGGTTATATTTTTACACCCACCATTACATCAGACTCTGGTTTGTATCGTGCTTTATCAAATGACTCTTCATTAACAACGTACGATTCAGGAGCCACCCAATACTGAGTTCTCTTAGTAGCATCGCTTACATGTGTCTTAAGGCCGTTTTTCAATATTTGACTAATACCAAAGTCGGTTATCAGAATTTTCCTTGTGCGTTTCGTAAAACATTAGAAGGTTTCATATCACGATGAAGAATTGGACGCGGACCTCTATGAAGGTCAGCTAATCCTTTTAAAATTTGTTTAAGAATGTCAGGAAGTAATTTTTGAAGGTAATTCAAACTATTTGAATTTGATTCCACATATTCCTTCAACGACTCTTCACATAGGTCAAGTATCAAATAGACATATTCTGTTCCAAGGTTTTCTTCGTAGTAGGAATAATTCACAACATATTGCGAGTACTTTGCGTTTCCCTCATTCAAAATTTCCTTTTCATTCTCTCCTATTTTCATGCAGCCATCTCGACGAATTCGTTTCACTGCTTTTCCATAACCATCCTTTCCTAGTCCAACATAAACACGGGTTCCATCGTTTCCTTTGCCAATGCAAAATTCGTCTGAGAAAATTACCCGTACATTGTTTACATTTCCAACCTTGTAATCAGGGTGGTGCCCACACTTAATTAAATTTAACAACAATTTTTTGTGCTTTGTTGATTCATCAATGTGTTTCAATTCTTGCAACTGCATGTCTTAAAATAATGTAAAATAAATTAAAGATTAATGATGAAAACATTCAAACAATTGGAACAAGTTAAAAGTTTCCATCACACACAAAATTCGGATGGTGGAAATTACTTATCATATATTTCTGATTTATGCAATTGATTGGACAGCAGTATAAAGGTATAATCAGATACCATAACATGTTTTTTTTATTGTGAAATAAAGCTGTATATAATTACACCTAGTGTTTGTTGCTTTTGAGTGTAAAAAACGTGAAGAGCATGTTTATCATGTCTACAGCTATATATTCAAGTGACAAATACAACAGAACAAATTTATTTCAAATCTCAACTTTTACTCTTGACTCTCAGTCTTTATGAGCAATTCGATGCTCGCCTATCTAGCACTCTGTTAGTATTCACTTTTTATCAGTGAAATTAGACCACAGATAAGAAACCATGCACTATAAAAAGAAATCATCAATTTTAAACTTCAAGGAAACTATAATGCATGGCTCAAATTTATAATCTAATGTTTTCAGAAAGGATTTAGTATTGTCTATTTCAACCATCATTTCCAAATTACAATCTCCGTGATATGATATTGTACATTTTTATTTCTGGTAAATGAATTGTGGTAAAAAGTAATTCTTTGATAGTAACTTACTGGTTAAATGTTCTTCGAGATCTGGAATTGATTTCCCTTCAATTAGCTTCATGATACTATGTACAAGAAGAGGAAGCTTAGGGAAAACATGTAGGAAATACTCTTCATAGTTACCATTGCTTTGAGGCAGTTGTGTAGGAGGCTTATCGCGCCAATGCTGGTGAAAGTTTAGTAAAAATTCTAAACAACCTAGCCATGTAGAGTCGTAGTTTCGTCTATTGAAAAGATTAAAGACTTCAGGGTCGATACAATCTTTCCAACTTATTTGACGATTCAACTGCATATTGACATCTGAATTAGGAGAATGAAGTAAACGCGATATTTTTGTCCGTTGTTGGTTACTCAGGTCACACAGCATATGAAACTTCTCTTTATCAGATAGCAGATAAGGGTGTTTAAGCGCCTCGCTTGCTGATGGTCTGAGATTGGGATTTAGATGTAGCATCCATGAAAGAAGATGTTTAAGTTGAACATCCTTGATTTCCTTCAATCCAACAGGATTTCCACGTAACAAGTTTAGCAGTCTACACTCTTCATATCCAAAAGGATGTTTATCTTTTGTAGCAACATAATAAGCAACGAGTCCTGCATTCTAAAATCAATAAAAACAGTGTGAAAGAAATGTAAAAATTCAACTTTATTTAACACATGGTTACATTTTTATACCTACCATTACATCCGACTCTCTTTTGTATCTTGATTTGTCAAACGACTCATCATCTTGAATATATGACTCAGGAGCAATCCAATACGGAGTTCCCCTATTGCCAACATGTGTTGTAAGGCCATTCTCCATTATTAGGTTTAAACCAAAGTCAGAGATCAGAAATTTTCCTTTTGCATTGCAGAGAACATTGGAAGGCTTCAAATTCCTGTGAAGAATAGGACTTGGCTCGCGGTGAAGATCAGCTAATCCTAATAAAATGTGTCTGAGAATTTTGGGAAGAGAATTTTGAAGATTCACCAAAGTAGAAGAATGCACAAAACTCTCCAACGATTCTTCACATAGGTCAAGTATCAAATAGACCCATTCTGTTTCAGTGTCTTTTTTGAAGTAGGAATAATTCACCAGATAATTCGACTTCTTTTCTTTAACTTCATTACAAATTTTCATTGTTTTCTTCGCAAAATCGATAAAGTTGAACAAAAGTATTCGTTTCACAGCTTTCCCGTAACCATCCTTGCTCAGTCCAAGATAAACACGGGTTCCATCACGTCCTCTGCCAATGCAAAATTCATCTGAGAATATTACTCGAACATCGTTTAAAAGTTCAACCTTCACATTAGGATCTCGCCCATACTTAATCATTTTTAAAAATAATTCTTGGTGTTTTATTGATGGATCATTATAATCCCATTCTTGTAGTTGCAATTCTGAAATTGAAAGAAAAAAATTAAATTTAGAAATGAATGGGAATAATAAAATACAAAAAAGTAGTTAAAGATAGATTGTTACAACGAGAAATTGGATAGCGACTGTACAATCTGTTAAAAGTACAAAAAGCAACCATTATATCATAAACCACCTGTTCAAGAAAACAGTTCTAGCAAGAGCGTTAGAGAGGATAGTTGATAACAAAAAATTAATGAATATAATACAATATGACTACAGATTAGAAAAATACAGATACACACCCTGCCAAGTTTTTACTCTACCTGTAGTAATATTTTTATGTTCAATAAAAAGAAACAAAAAACAGATTTTTTCAAAGAATGACAAGTAATTCTTTTCAAAATTTGCATAAGCGCTGAAAAAATTTTAAATGAAGGATTGTCAAGTTCTTAACCCAAAACTTAAAATATTAGTCAATTAGAAACAAAATTTTAATCTTAATCATGTTGAATTTATTTGCATTTTGTACCTATAATTTTGTCAACTTCATGTAACTTCTCTTTCATCGAATCCCTTTGCAAATCATGTCCTTCTTCCTCATATAATCGTATCAGACGTTCCATAACATTCTTTTGTTTTGCTATATCTTTATCATTGTTGACGATATGAAGATATATTTCATAAACATCTATTGCATCCCTCCGTTCTTCAAGTTTATCAAACAGTTCAGCTAATTCCCAATAAACAGTTAACACTCCATTCACAATTCCAGCTGAAGTAACAATTGACAAGTTCTTCATGTTACAGTTGACAAAATCTTTACTAACGTTAATACCACCTTTTCTGACATTTTTTTGTCGCTGCATTCGATGATGTTGTTCTTGTTCACTGTCTTCCAGTTGTAAACTTTGCATTTCGTCTTCTAGCTCTTGACTTTCAATCAGAGAGAATCCTTTCCTGTAATGCTCCAAGGATTTGTCTTAATTTTCAAGTAACTTATTTAATCCTCCCAATGCAATATGACAAAGACAGACCATTTCTTCTTTCTTCATGCCGTTCTCCAACCTTTCAGTGGTAGAACAAATACTCCGCAAGCCAAGGTACACTTGATGTTCAAAATATTTACAACTGACTTCAGAAGAAAGATTCAAACAATGATTAAAATATTTCGTTGCTTCATCAAATACATTAGAGAGGGTGTAAGCGTTACCAAGACCAAAATATGCCATCATTTTGATGCTGTTCTCGTCTGCAAATTCTACACAATTTTTGTACTGTTCAATAGCCGTTTCATAATCGCCATTATTCATAGAACAATTCCCTTTGTCCAAGTTCTCCATAACTGCTGGAACCGTGAAAGCTAGATCTCTTCTAGTAGTCACGCAAAAATTTATCTAAGTTCTCCAATGTTCTTCATGTGAACAGCAAACTTTTCTTTATTGTACGTATTTTTATGCGCCAAACATCAAAGTTAACTGTTTAACTATATAAGACAAAATTATGAGCTTTACTTAGTCCACTCTTTAGTTTCAAAATTACAATAGAGGGAATTCATTTATGGAAGTTTAAAGCAAGCAAATGAGAGATCTGAATAACATGTATGTAGAGTGTGTGTAGGGTGTTATATACCAATAGGTTAAAGATAGGGCATTTTTGCAAATTGAAGGTAAATCAATTCTCAATAATGAATGCTTTAATACCACCCACCCCCCATAAGTTTCGTAATTTAATTAATTCATTCAAGTGCCCATTTCAGCAACATTGAATTTAGGAGTGATTTCCACCGTATCAGTAAAAAACATTTTAAGTTTCTCAAAACGCTCCAATTTTAAGGCTGTTTAAAGTAGGCAAAATGCTCCTTTTTATGGAGCTTGTCAGTCGCAGGAAAAGTCTGGAACGACTTACTTTTGCAACGTCATGCAAAGTATTTATCAAGATTTATAAACCAACCACATGTTTGTCGGTAATTACACGTTGCAAACCCCCAATCCCACAGTCACGAAAGTCACTCATCAAGACAATACATTATTTAGCATATGAAGACAACGCAAAATGTGACAACTTGAATTTGAATATAGTATTTTGCATTAAAAACTTTCGTCTAATTTCTTTTGAGTATCTTTTTTCCTAGTATTTTTATACACAGGTGTTGAAACACGCGAAGAAGAAAACAATACAACAAAGACTGGAAAATTTACAATCAATGTGACGATCTTTGAGTTAA